AAGGAATACAGTGGCACTATGGTTACACGACATTTTCCCGAAAAGTAGAGGGGATAACGTTGGCATCAACGAAAACCTCTAGGCAATCTAATTTCAATTTCCGTCGATTAGTAACACTGTTCAAGTAGTAGTCTGCCAGTTTGTTGAATCTTTTTGACAGATGTGCGCGCGTGTTTATAATAAATATTTACGATCTTAATATTTTATAAATGTAAGTATAATATATATATATATATATATATTACGACATTTATTTAAAATAAAAAGTAAAAATATTACAAATAAGAGAAAACGTAAAATTTATTAATATATATTTAAACTCCGTTTAAAGCAAGTTGTGGAACTGGGCCTTAGTGATTATTATCTGTGATTGGAGCATTCTTTTAGATTCTTCATAGACCCAGAAGTATTTACCAATCAGGAGCGAGAATCACTAAGCGCTCACTGATCACTTTGTTCTGCTGAACGCAACCAATGGCTGCATTCAGCAGACTCGACAGTTGGACAACATTACTAGATTTTCCATTGAATCTCGCTCCTGATTGGTAAATACTTCTGGGTCTATGAAAAATCCAAAAGTATGCTTCAATCACAGACAATAATCACTAAGCGCTCTCTGATCACTTTGTTCTACTGAACGCGGCCATTGTCACGCAGGCATCGGCCAATTATGTGTACAAGCAGATAGATTCAAATATTTTGGAACGTTACAGAACGTGTCGATTGATATCAGTGTAGCGTGTATTTTGATAAGCGATCCGCTACCGTGACTAACGTGATACATTAGAGAGATTTCAGAATTTGTATCTTATTAGAACTAGCACTAATAAAGCGTGGAACGGAAAAACTAAATATATTTCTTAAGGTATTTCGTAAGTGTTAGATTGAGAAAGAAATTATAGGTCTGTTCGTTTCCTTTGCACCGCTGCACTAGTGCAATAAGTTCGAATGAGAAGTATATATTTGTCTCACTTTAACTTATTGCAACAGTGCAGCGGTGCAGAAGAAGAAGAGAACAGACCATATGTGATTTTGTAAACTGAGTAACTCTGTTTAAATTTATGAATACCAGCTGTTCTTTTCATTGTCTGTTGTTACTTATTCTACATATTTTTTATTTTTCATTAATTTTTAATTTGAACCAACCAACTATTGCAGGCGATATTCAGTCTATCAATATGGATCTTCCTGTCAATAAGATTCATCGTATTTTATTAGACGCTGGCTTGCCATCGACTATTGAAAATCTCAAAAATCCTACACAAGAATATATTATGATGTTATTATCATCATTCTTGACGCGATTTGGCATTAATATGAACTTAATTGATCAGGTAGAAGATTTTGTATGTACTAAGATTGGTACACTTGTACACTGTATACCCGTGCATATACTGTCTGTATATTTATAAATATAAATAACACACATGAATCTTTATTGTTATACATACATACGCATACACAGTAAAGTTAATATTAAAAAAGTTTTACAGCCAACTATGGAACAGTGCGCTATTATGTCATATTTTAAGGATTCCGATACAATAAATCTGACCAACTTGCATGCAGCTCTAACACAGATATTTGACAAGATATTTCTACGTGATTTCTGCATTACTGACATTACTAATCCAGGTGCAAATTATAATTAAAAATATCGGATAGAGATACTGTATAAATTTAATACATATATGAATATACAAATAATCTTTGCACAGGACAAAAACGACTTAGAAGGCAAGCTAAATATCTTGCTAATTTTATATTGTATACAATGCAAAAAAAATTAGAATTCAACGATAGAATAGATGAAATTCATGCTAGATCCAGACTCCTAGAGGAGTTAAAAGACAAGAAAGCTCAGATTGTAGAGTCTGTTAATAGGAAAACTTTGCACGAAGAAAAACAATTATCTTTGATGAAAAAGGTAAACTGATGTGAATGAATGTGTCTGTACTTGTGTCCAATTAATCAAATAAGTAATGTAATATGTAAATTTGCATTTTTATATTAGCTCGAGAGCGATATGCAACATATGCAATTGAAAATTGAAAAGAATAATAAGGGAGAATTAGAACTTGAGGTGATAAGAAACAAAGCAGAGAAGGAAAACCAAGAAGCTAAAGAACTTTGCGTCTCTGTCAAAACAACAGTGATGAGGGTAAACTGTTTTAATCAAATTCAATTTTCTCACAACAGCAACGTAATGTTTTTATTATCATATAATCAGCATGACACTTTTACATTATTTTCAGTTATCCAAAGTAATAGAAGGTTTACAGTCAGAAGTAGTACATTCGCCAGAAAGGTTTCAATTGCGTCTGAATGAACTTGAGGAGCAAAAGAACTTAAAAATGGAGGAACGCGTCATAATGCAGGAAGCCATTCAAGACAAGAAGCACTCTATAAAAAAAATTGAGACAGAACTGAATGTTGTTCAGAAAATGAATGATGAACTGGCTACACTGAAAACTATATACGAACAGTTGATGTAAATTTCTAATCGTCTTTGGGTTCTTATGTATATTTGAAGTTTGATAAAATGTCCTGTAATTATTTCTTGTAGAAACCAAAAGGCGCAGTCGGATATTATTAAGAAACATATTGAATCATTAAAAAATACGTGGATTGAACATCAAAATAGATTAGCAGTGTATAAAGTTCAAGTCAACACCGAAAAGAACGAAATTCAATCGCGCCATGAAGAAGATATCGCTCGATTGCGTGACTTGCATGAACGGTTATTGAGGTAACGATCGTTTACCTTGTTATCTTGTAAGTTTTCAATGTTTAACTTTATAATGTCGTTAGTGAGAAAGAATTGAAGACGGCTCAATTATGTACAAAGAAAGTTGGCTTTAATGCGAAATGCCTAAAAAGAAATCAGCTGCATGAGGAAATTAGAAGAAAAGAGGAAAAGTCGTCAGCTCTCGTTCACAGTCTTCAAGAAATCTACAACAATGAAATTGCTGATGTAGGTTACGTATTACATATATAGTTACTTTTTGCATAGATTTGTGTATCTTATTTACATTTATATAATTAGGTCAGAATATATTTAATGAATTTAATTGGTACAGCTCAGACTGTAAATGTATGTTTTATTATAATGTATTTTATTCGAATAGGAACTTGAATTACGGGAAGCTTACAAGGGATTATAACTAGCAAATAATTTGAAGGAGTTTGAAGAGGCTTGGGAAGAGAACACCTGTACATATCTATATCTATGCTATATCCGTATCTGTACTATATCTATATATCTATATCTAAGATGAATTATATCTATTAATTATTGTGTATTACGCATTATCTCACAGATTTTATTATTACCAAGTTTGTACTATCAATAGAGGTAGCAGAATAAATAATTTATGATGTATTACATGATATCGGTAATTCTATTGGAAGGTAACAATTTTCATCATATTCGGATGTAAATTCCTCGATCTGATGATCCTCTAATACGAAATCAAGGCCATTTTTGTAATATTTGCTTTTTTACGTTTCTTACTCGACTTTTCCCCCGTTACATGTAAGTAACGCGATGCGAAGTTGGGCACAGAAGCGACGGTCGATACGGAATTATTTTTGCGAGATCTTTGCATCACGTCGTATTGTACGAAAAATTTTAAGAAAAATTGAAGCAAGTTCATATGCCGTTGAATGAAGTCAAATTAAGAAACACACAGGGGATACAATTCATTGAATGTAACGAATATTAACCAACAGGATTGCAAAGGACTGCAACCAACAAGAAGACATAAGGAATGTATCTTATCATTCGTGACTCGAAAGGACATCGGCGATGTGGATCCTTTGCGTAAGAATTATTTCCAGCGATTTTTTCTCTGATCTTTGATAATCATGTGTATTATAAATACACTTTCTTCATTCATATTGTTAGTGTGTGTTAACAATAAAATAAAAATAAAATTTTCATAGATGTTGCATGTGATGTAGAAAATTGCAAAGAACCAAATTGTCTTAAGAAACGATGATATGAGCAAAAACATTTTTGACACAGGTATTGATCAGACTTTTCCAACTTGTAATCCTGTTGATGTTGTCCGGTATCCTGTTTTCCATTGCTGCCATTTCGCGTTTAATGGAAATAATAATTATTCTAATACATCCTACTGCTGTGTTTTTACTGCGACAATCTGCGAATTTAATCGTTGTGAGTATTACAGTTAAAAAATTTCACCACTTCTTTTCTAATTCTCTTCCCAGAATTTATTTCCGTATTATTCCAACAACTTAGAAATACAATGAGATCAATGTGCAATTTAAGCGCCAATAATTATATCAAGTAATATGTAACCAAGACCAGGGCCAAGTAGCCCCGTGGTCAGTTAATTTTGAACGCATGGTCCTGCATAGTTGTCAACAATCCTGATCGCAAAGACGACGTCCTCAGCGTGTCACGAACTGTACGGACTTGTTAAATGCGACCGGCAGGAGGCAGTTCTACCGCGAGAGTCATTGCGAGGGCGAAAGATCGCTTCCTTGCAAATTGGCATGCAAACTCCCTTCGTGCCATATAAGAGAAGCGCCCTTGATGAAACTTCAAAGTATCCATTCGTGGAAGACGGATCTATCGCTGGCCCATCAGCAATGGAAGGCAATGGAAGGCAATGGAATCATCGAACTTCCGCGAGACCAGTCGCGGAATAATAAACGAAAGAAATTATCTGAATCTGAAGAATATTATTATATTGATTATTCGTGAAAAGAAAGAAAGAAAAGAATTATCCGCGAAAAGGAATAAAAATCTCTGTAAAACAGTCACATTTTACATTTATACGAGCTATTTGTGTACAAAAATAGAATATATATTTTATGGAAAAGTAAATTATTGATATGACTGTTCTCGGTGAGAGTATAATTTTTTGCGTGTTTTCGAATGTATTCGAAAGCTAGTAATAGTTTAAGATTATTACGACAGCGATATGTCATGCATAAAAGTCGACTGACACTTCGTGGCGAAGTAATCGCTGTTTGTTATCGCTTTGGTACAGTCATTTGTGAAATTGCATCGTATAAGCTGACAAAACTTAAATTGATTACACTTTAAGAAGATATACGCAAAATGTAACGAGTGATCTTCTGAATTGCACATTCCAGTCAATTACTGTTTAAATCAGCATTAGTGGTGGGAGGTCTGGTTTAGAAATTTATCGAAGTGAAGTATGGACGTGAGTTTCCTAATGTTAAAAGGTTAATTTATTGCGATAGGATATAATAATGCTATTCATTTTTAATGAATTACTCCAAGTTGGAGGCCACGGCGACTGATTTAAACGACAAAATTCCTTGCTTGCGACATATCCTTCGTCCGGAATATGCCTCATATTTAACGACAATTGCGACAGTGCTGATAGGATGGCTGCTCGTGACTTGGATATTTCACGTATGTATCCTAAAATCTGTTCAACTTAATGTGTGATTATATTGCATTGCCCGTACTTTGTACCAATAAACCTTTTATAGATAATCTGGATGTTGCTAACACCCTTGGCGATAGGCGCAATCGTTATAGCAATTATATACCCAACAACTACCAGATGGTACTTTCAGCAATTAGGAACAAACCTGAAAGTGATAGTGAACGATTTCATTTATAAATGTCTAGCACATCGATAACGATATTGAACAGTAATTAATGTTTATAAACCGGTCATTTGTCTAATTTAAATAACACTTGCATTTATATTATGAACAGAGTTGTATAATTTGCTTAATTTATTGTAAACTTTAATAAATTGAGTAGGAAATAATGAATGGAATTTGAAATATATAAGAGATCTCTGAGAGATATAGATATGTAAGCTGAATTTAATTTCCGTACATGACATTCTTTCAGGAAATCGTCAAATTCTTCAATTGATATGAATGAACGTGAATTTGCCTATGAGATCTAGCAAAACGTTTCGAAAAATTACGCTTATAACCTTAAATCCGACAATTTCAAACATTTTTAAACGTACGATCGGGAAGCAAATTGCGCATATAAATATGTTCCAGTGAGTGAAAGGGAGCCATATAGGAAGGAAAAGGGACGCATAGGAAAATCACAGAAAAATGGGAATGCAGAACTCAAAACGGTGAGTGTTTGAAATAATCTGTCTTAATAATTCGCAATTGAGAAAACGTAACGATCGTTTATTATTATTATTCAGAAAATATTCCGCATTTTTACACCAAGGATATCTATACGCAACGCATGACATGTAAAAGATTAGAAAATCATTAGATGATTGAATGAGTTAAATAAATTAGATGTCGAAGTATTTATAGGTGTCGAAGGGTTGATAGTGTTAACAAATTAGAAAGTAACAAATTATGGCGTATTTACATCGTTGATGCAGAAGAGCATGTCCAACTCTTCTTTTCACATTGTTGTGCTTTCTTGTCCGCCGAATTTCATCTCCACGGGTGTTTTACCTGACTCCGCTACTCGCTCTTGCACGACATTTGTTTGCTGGTTTTGCTGCTCTAACTGCTGTATCGAATCAGCTTCTCGCTTGCTCGTTCCCGTAGGGACATTGGCTATTGCGCGAGTAACTGGATATCCTCTTTCCGATTTATTATTCTCCTTAAGTTTTTGTGAATGGCTCGATTGTGCCTGGCGAAAATCTCTCGTCGGGTCAGTGAATGCATTTACGGTGACACTTGGTGCTGTATACGGGCGAGACTCGTAGGTTTTCACGGGATAAGATATGTATTCGTGAGATGTCACGGGATATAAACTAGGGGACACATCAGGATAATAAGGATGTGCGTTCTCTTGATGGACTGATATAATCGTATCACCGTATGCGGTTCCCGGCTGCAAAAGAAAAAAATAATTCAATATTCAGTGTCCATAAAAATTATCACTCGTGATATATTTAGTAAAGTATATGTAGTAAATGTTAATTGTTGTTTTTATTATCAGACAAAAGGCCACTTGTATGTCTTACTTTAATAGATAGAATTTCGTTTATTTTTCTTTTTTCTTTTCAGGGACTTGCAATTTTTTTCGTAAAAACTTGTAACGGTTAAGCCTTCGCGCGCGTGCGAGTTATTTCGCCTTACGTACATCAAAAGATTCTAAAAGCGTTGCAATATTATGCGGATATTATGCGCTGTGGTTGATGATAGAACTAAATTGGATAATCAGGATCAGAGGCAGAACGAGATGGAGACGATTTTATACAAACAATCGTTTTTTTTTTTATTTTTTGAACAAACAGTACATAAGGACGTTCTCTGTCGAAAGGACGCGCAATCGGTACCTTGTATTTTACAAATAACGTTTGAGGTGCTCAATCATTAAGCTTGCTCGGGCCCATTTCCGTTACGAAGTCACCAAGGATTATAGAAAAGGGTTAGACCTGTGCGTGAAACCAGACATTATGTACTTATGCATTATGCTCTCTCGACCGAGCGAGCTGGACCTTCTTCATGGAAGGACCTTTCTATGTAAAGATTTTTTTACTTAATATAGCATCGCGCATGTCAGAATCTTTTGATGTCGCTTCAAAATTCTATCGCTTTTAAAAATTCGTCTTGTCATTGCCACACGATATCGTTACGTTTATTACTACATGGAAAAAAAAATCTTGGTTCGTACAACTGAATAAGCATCAAATGAAAATTCAGCGATAAAAAATGATATCTCGATTGTCACGATCGGAAGGATTCGTTTGAACATGCAACTATATATTGGATCGCGGTTGGGATAATTGAAAACAGTTAATTGATTCAAAAGCTCTTCCGGCAATTTTTCTGTTTCTATACAATACAAGTGAATTTCTCATTCAATCTCTATCATTTTCAAGCAACGGAAAATTCGATGCATCATATAACGTTTTGTATCGTTTTTTCCATATATAAAATTAATAACAGCGCGTGATAATCATTGTTCGATTACTATCGATTCGGTACTTACATATCCAAGGACGGTCGGATGGTTACTTGATAAATAACTCAAAGGGCAGGAGGGTTGTACAATCAATGGAGTCGCAGGTGCGATATTTGCAGTAGGATGCACCATCACGTGATGTTCGTGCACCTTGTGATGATGCCTAGGCCAAGACGGGTTCTGCTGCCCTTTGTGAGCGCAGATGCACTGTGTATCGGATAGAACATGAGGTTGGTGTTCTAACTCGGTCACCTGAAGGAACATAGTAGAAAATGACACATTTGATTTGATCTTCCGTTGGAACTTTACTAAGCGTATCGCGATATGTTGTTACTATAATTAAAATACTTAAAAGTTTACAAATGTGGTGAACTAAGAATCTCTTTAAGAACTTCAAATAGAAATGCATCTCTCTAAGAATTCAATAATTCATGATTTTATAATCGTATAAGCTTTTCCTTTTTCTGCAAAAAGCTGATTTCATGACTAACCTGCAGAGTCAATTGTTTTTCAGGATATTCCATTATAGGTTTGGATGGTAGAACGACCAACTCTTTTTTACAAGAAACAGGTTCTACCACTGATAAAAATTCCACAGTTTGTGGCATAGCGATCGGCTAAATTGTGAAAAAAGATATTACAATTTATGACATAACGACTTCTTTCGCTGGCTCGTATATATGTACATATATGTATACACACACACACACACACGCGCGCGCGCGCGCGCGTGTGTGTGTGTGTGCGTGCGTGCGTACGTGTATGTTATGTATATATGTTGCCTATGATACTCACACACACATATATACTTTTATTTTTTTCACTTAATTGAAATTCATTGAAATTTTATTTAAGTTCATTCAAACAACCAATATATACATATGTGTGTGTTTATTATTTGAATAAATTGGATATATAAACTCTTTATTTAAATATAATATTAGTTTCAAGTTTAACCGTTCAACGTGTATTTCAACTGAGATAGCAGAAGCTATGCAATGATCTTTCATTATATTTTCGAGAAAATAATCTCTTTATCTGTACTGTACTGTACTAGCTCTCCAATGTTCATGATATTGTATTTACCTTAATCTACTTCTCTTACCTTTGGTCTCAGTTCTGGCTCCGGTTCTAATTTAGGTAACGGCTTTAAATGCTCGACTTCTTTCGCTGGCTCGTATTTACTTTCCTGCCGAATAACTGTTGGTGTTGGTAGAACGTTGCAGGGAGCGGCAGGAGGCGTCAAGATATTGACGATCGGAGCTTGTTGAGGTGGTGGAGTTTGTACAGCAGGAAGACTGTATTGCGCTGGCGGTTGCAGAAAGATTACAGGCTGGGTAGCTGGCTGAGGAGCTGGCTGAGGCAGTGACTGAAGATGCGGCTGGACCGTTTGAACTGGCTGAACAAGTGGTGCGACGTGAACGGTTTGGGGCTGTTGTGATTGCGTATGGATTATCTGGACGGGTTGCGAGGTCTGCGACAGGGTTTGCGAATTAATAAACTTAATGGGATAATCTACAATGGAATGCGGAGCTTCTTGATGTATCACCATCTGCTTAGCAGGTTCAGGCTGGACCAAAACCAGGGGCCGCTTCGTTTCTGCGCAGGGAACTTGCTGTTCTGTTCCATCACGGACCTCCACGCAGAAAGTCGTCGCGGATTTCTTCGTTCTGTCCTTATCCATGCCAGGATCTTCCATCTTCATATCATCTTTCTCGATCTTACTCGTCTTTTCACTGATCGATTTCTTCACGATGTTCTTGGACGTAGACGGTGCAGCCTGACAGGCAACTAGTGCCAGCAGAAACAGCATGCAACAACTTTTCAGATGCATCGCTCGATAGTCGTATTCGAAGACAAATTCGAACTGATGAAGCAGAACGAGTTGTCCGGTTTTTTAAAGGGATCCACGACCAGTCGCGAAATCACGATCGAATTCACCGACGATGAAATCGACATTTTGCTTGCAAAACTGGGTGCAGAATTCGATGCGTCGGCAAATCGCGATGCGTGATTAAACAATGCAAACGTGTCCCCATTTTTGCACAATCGCAAGTCGATTTTATCATTTCTGCTGTCGCGCTCTCATTGTATTCGATCCGTTTATTTCACATCCTGTTAATACGCTGTGTAATCTTACTGAATTTATTATCGCATAGTTTTGCAGTAGAAAAGAAGTTGTGGAACAGCTGTTACGCACGGAATATTGGATCAGTAATATTGCAAGAAGAAATTGATCTGTCTAATTTACATACATTTTACAGTGTTCCAAGAATGTGCATCAATTATATAATAACAAGTTGCAAAGACTTTTACACGGTAAATACTACCGTGTAAATGTTTCAAAAGACATATTTAATGTACATACATGTATGTATATAATACAATAAGATATTTGAAAGCGACGCAAATTCTTTTAATATGAGATGTACGAGCAAACTCATATGCATCTCATACATCTCATATTAAACATAAGATTCATTTTGTAACAACAGTTGTACAGCGATTTCCTATTTGATTTTTTTAAGCACCAGCGATTACGTTGACTTGGCTGAATTTTCCTTCGTGTTGCAATCCAATGGAATCCAATGGATGGACACATGTCTCGCTTACGTAAAAAATTTTTTAAACGCGATACGCTCTTCAGTTACGCAAACGCGATAACAACATTTGGTACATTCCCCGATTACCTTGAGAAAATATATTATATTATATAATAGTTCTCATATAATTTTATTTCGGCTAATTATACAAATGCGTAATCTTTGACTTCATTTTATTCATTTTATCTATTTTTTACGCTGCTAATAACAAAAAAGACAATTTGGTATGTTGGTACGTAAAAGGACGTAACAGTTGCAAATTAGTAGATCGAAATATTTATTTAGTGATGTCGCGCGCATCATTACAACGACTAATCAATGTGTGCCGTTATCACTGTCATTAATCCTTATATGACTTATTTATATTTAACTGCTAATTGACTGCTCATATTCATACTCATATAAAATCGAACGAAACGAATAATTTTTCAAACGATTCTTTTATTTTTGGTCAACATAAGAAATATGATCAGAGATATAATTATGTATTTACAATCACAATCTTGCTAACGCTCTCTCATTCATTACAACGAACAAATTTTATTAAGGAGCGATTTATTCTGTGTAATTAAGAGCTCTCCTTTGCCGTGATTGACGTGGAATGTTTATCGAAGGATTCTATCGGCGTCCGTTTGGTCGGCTCTACTGGAGGATTTTCGGCTTCATCTATTAGATCAGGATCGAGCTCTGTCAAAGTTTCGTTCTGCGTGTTGTCCTTTGCATCTTGTCCCCTGTCGAGAGCAAGGCTCTTATATTTCTCTGCATCGTACATATCTTTGACGAAAATCTGATCCCGATTACGCTCACCGTCCTCGGAAAATCTCTCGTGTCTCCTTTCCGTAGAATTCACGCGCGATATGTTATTTTTCATTTCCGACAAATCCATCGTGACTGTGGACTCGGTAGGATATTTCGAAGAGTTTAAAATATTCAAGAATGATTGCGGAAAGGTACAAGGGGTAACATCGATTACAGGAGCGCGAATAATTCTGTCGGTGCCGATACGTGTTTCGTCCTGGATCTTAAATTTGTTCTCGCCCTGAGAATATTTATTGCTATTTTCTTCCACGGAATATACTCTGGATTGTCCTGTCTTTTGGATTCCTTGCAAATCTTCGAGGCGATACATAAGATCCCGCTTGTCGGGGAGCTCTCCATTTTTATCGTGTGTGTGTGTTGTCCTCCAAATATGCATATCCAAAGGAAGGGCGTAAGGTTTGCAAACAGACGTTTCAATCTCAATAGTATCCTTTTCGGCCTCGTTTTCGGAATATTCCCGATCTTTGTCTTCCTCGACATCGAAGTATCCGATATCTCCTTCTGTTGCGGAATACACTTGTGGCCAATTACTCTCAGCTCCCTTACCTCGATTAATTTCGATAAGATTTTGCAAGTTACTACCTGTTGCCAGATTCCAGCTATTGGGGGAAACCCTTTCGTCCTTTGTAGATCTCCAAATGTATGAATCCTGAAGTGAGTTATAAAGATAATTCATTTGCTCATTGTCGTCCTTGATAGTAGCTATTTCCTCTTCTTCCATGGAATACGGCCTGAAGAAGTAATTTCGATTGTGAATCGATTTCGACTGTCTTAGGCTCGAGGTTTCCGAAGAATCCTTCATAAGATCGCAATCGCCAAGGACTTCGCCATTTTTCGCCGATGTTTCAACACTTGAGTCTGGAGAGAGAACATAAGGCTCACAATGGTCTCTGGATACACCAACTCCTGCGGAATGATATATATCTCGAGGGGAAGCAAGATTGTTGTACTGTCCGCCGATAGAATTTGATGGTCTCTCGATTGCATTCCTTTGCTCGTCATCGCCATCGTCATCATCATCGTCGTTACCGTCAAGGATGCTTGCCTGGCGGAATATTGGGAAGAATTTTCGCGGGACAATTTCATTCGGAGATATGTGCCTTGAGTTTCCCCATGAAGGTTTCCTGTTTGCGCGATAAACGACGTTGAATTCTCTCGCAGGACCCTGCTCGTTCTCTGTATTACAGTCTTCAACAATCTCTGACGAGGACATTGAGTATTTATCGCGCAGACTGCCGAAGAACGAGCTCGTTTGCTCCAGTTCGTGAAAATCTTGCTTTGGCGGAGAGACACGAGTGACGACAGGATAACTGTTTGCAGGTTTATCCAGAGACAAGGTCGTCTGCTTGCCTAAGAATTCTGAGAACTTATTGGGGAAGTTTCCGAGAAATGAATTTTGCTGTTCTGTTTTGTCAACGAATTGCATAATCGGAAGTCTACCGACACGAGGATATCCGTCCTTTGCGGATCCTTGTTGCGAGAAACTTCTGTGTCTTCTAGGGAACATCGGATTTTGGCCCGAAAGAACGTCGTCGTGTGCTGTATTCTGAGAGATTTCTCTTTGTGCCAGACGGAAGTAAGGCGAGTTTTGGAGCGGTGTGACGGAAAAATCTTGCAGGATTCCAACTTGCAGGTCTAATTCTTGACGAGGGTACCTGCGGAGGATATTTCAACATAAATTAATCTGCATATCAAACACAAAATGACAGCTTTCTAAATTTTGTAAATAATTGTAATTTCTCTTACCATGGCGACGCCAACGCTTCCGGGCAATCCTGACCACAGGAGGGACAAGACGCACGTCTAGGAGTTTTTTGCGACGATTCGCAAACTAAAATCGCGGTCGCAGTTAAATAATATGACAAATAACGATGAAACGTTCTTCTCGACATACTTGCAAAATTTCCATAACGGAATATGATAGCTCTTTATAAGCTCGCATGCGAAGGACAGAGCAAGGACACGCAGTATCGCTAACGAAGATGTTTTATGACTTGCAACGAATCGTTTATCCAATTCTTATATACATCCGTTAATTTTTATTGAGAGAAAGGAACAAATGGTTTATTTATTTAGCTTTTAATGATTAAAACTTCCGTAGTCCTTTTTACTTTCAGTCAAAATGCGGATGACGACATAATATCGCAGAAATCTTTGGATGTAGTGAAAGAACTTACTCATTTTTTGAAACAACGTAAGTTTATACATTTGAGATGTGTATAAGGAAATACACGCGCACACACGCACACACATTCATTAATAATACAATTTAGAAAGTATGATTTTTGATCCTTTAACTGAAGATGCCACGGTGGAAGGATTATTCCGTCGGACAGGACGTCGTGAACTTCGACGACATATCCTGAATTCTTTAAAAAAAGGACATAAGCCACGCTTTGAAAAATCGAACAGGTCAGCTCTGGAATGCGCGGCAGCCTTACAAATTTTTCTCAGCCGTCTCAAAAAGCCTATCATGCCGCAACATGTGCAGGAATTGATACTTGGTAAATAAATAATGTCAACTAAGCATTACGGATAAAATTAAATTGTGTAAAATAGACGGCGACAAGCATTTCCCGTAATCATGCTTTATTTGTAACTTGAAATCATGCGACATGAAAACAACGACGTTCATCGGCTAAAATGTAAAATCATTGTCAGCAAAATTTGCATTCCGATATGAATTGCGATATTACAATATCAAGTTATCCAATCATCTATAGGTAATCGTAAATAGGTGAAACTTTGATTGCAGCATAAATTTGCGATTAATTTTACGTGTAATTATATATATATATATATATATTAAATTAATTTTACGTGTAATTTTTAATATATATATATATATATATATATATATACATTTTTATATTTATACATACTTATATATTTCTATAAACAATGCAAATAAATGTGTCATTTATATCCAATCAGCTGACAATCCAGGTGTGGAGGTACAAGTTATCGCGCAAGATGCTTTAGGTCTTATCAAACAGGATGTCGGCGGTCGCCACGGCGAGCTTCTGATTGATGTTCTGGATCTGTTGAGACATTTGACTCTGTCGGGGCCACCTTCGGAATGTTCCGAATTACGAGGATCACCTTTGCCTATCGCCCTACTACCAGTATTTTTTAACCTTTCGGTAATGTTATATATTATTCGGGTAGCTCAAATAATAAATATTATTGCAAGGATGTACAATGCCATAAAATCAAATTTTCAAAAAAGTAAAGGAAACTGGTTCCATCCAAAATTTTAAAACATATCGACTTAAGCATTTCAACACTTGGTGATTCGGTCATTAGCATCTAAATGTTTTTCCACTTTTTTATGCTAATTAAAAAGAAATTATATATTTTTTATTTCAATCGTGCGGAATACATTTTTATAAAAAGGTTTTCTACGGTTGATCTCATTTTATTTTTTGCCTTACATAGTCTGGCGACTTGATAAAATGGAAGCAGGTTGCGGCCAGGTTCAGCGAATTAATTACAGAAGCTGCTAAACAGCTCCATCGGAATGAACAACGTGCTATGTATACAGAAACTACGTTAAATTTGGCAATGAGTGTTGAGGATGTAAGAAATTTGTCCGAAAAACAGTCAGATTCTATTGAAATCTATCTTTATTGAGGCGACTCTAAATTGCACTTATAATTCCAATCATCTTTCAGTTTCTGTCTTGAAGCAATTTTTGCTGAATTACAGGTATTACTTCTTTTCAGGTAACTTCGACATCTCCAGAAGTGTCTGAACGATTAAGGAGGTTGCAGGAACTTTCTTTATTGTACCCTATCATGCAACTTACAGACCATTATAATGCTTGTAAAATAAACATTATCATTTGATAATTTAGTTGTAATTTCGTTGATACGATTGATATAAATTTCAATTTATAAATTTATGAATTAATTAATTACGACCGATTATATTATTTCAATTTAATTATCGTTCTTTATAAATTATGGCAACAAATAGATACTTCAATGCATTTAATTACGTTAACAGGTCACGTTGGCGAAATGGCGCATGTTCTCATTACACCGTTGCAACATCCAACAGTCAGTATATTACACCCGACACTTGTTCGGCCGAATTAAGTGATAATCGAGCAATGTACGAATTCTCTGTGTAAATCATCGTATTTATATATCACGATAACATTTGTGTGAATTGGCTGATCGATTTAATTGTATCACGATTGAGATGTATGTACATGCAGCACCAGTGAAAATTATTAATCATTAATCTAATAGTATAATAGTATGATAATATAATCACACATATCAATTACAACTGAGACATTCGTTTGAACAAATAAGAATTATTTGCAAACATATATATTTTCAAGTGCTTCTATACATTGAAACGGAAATAAAAAACTTGATACATATTAATTTCACTAGAATACAACGTTGATAAAAATAGCTATATATATATATATATAGCTAGTTTGCTATCAAAACACAAGTGACACTTATTCACTTGTACAAGATGTGACGCAAGTGTGTAGTTAAATTTTAGTGTTTACTTAATTTTCACACGATGTATTTAAAAATTTGCATTTTATGTTATCAAAATGATTTAGACCAGTTTTTCTTGCTTATTGCGGACGCTCTTGAAATTTAATTGTGCAGCTGGTACATCACACATTTTTTAGTGTATTCCTCTGTGAGGATGATACGTCGAAATGAAAGTAAAACTCATTTCACGATAAACCTACGGATAAGGAACTACATATGTTTACATGGGATGTCCCAAGAAATAGAAAAATCAATATACAAGACATTTTTCGTTTAACTTGACGTGAAGAAAGTTTCATTCATTTGTGATTAAAATTACTACCAATATGTGATGATTTTCACATTCTCCGTGAATTCTAACTTTTTCTAGGAATATTGGGCCCATTTTCTTATTTTTTATTTAAATTAGTAATGAAAGAATTCCTTTTTTTTTCTGTGTGTGTGTGTGTGTGTGTGTGTGTGTGTGTGTGTGTGTGTGTGTGTGAAGAAACAGTTTTACATGTCAAGTAAATTTCCAATAAAATCCCCTCTCGCTAAATTAAATAAGTGAAGAGTAATCAATCGACCAAATCTGTTTAAAAAATATATATTCGTTAACGACTCGCATATTATTCAGGACATTCAACGTGTGCATGTAGTGCGTGGGAAATAAAGAATGTCACTCGTTTCTTTATTTTCTTTCTTTTTTTCGTTCATTCGGAAAGCTGTCATAGAGTCTAAGATCATTGTCACTCAAATAATAGCTACGACCAAGAAAACCATGATCGATTCGAGGATTGTGCGGGTGACTTCGCCGTCGGTGTGGTTGGTATAGATGAGGATGGTGTACCTGCCATAGAGAGCTGCTTTTCGTCAAGTTGATTTCTCAGTCTAACCTTCTCGTTTGTTTCCTCTTGCATCTTTTGTTCGTATTGCCGAACGCTTTCCAGATTCATATCATACCACTCGTCAATCCAGGCAAAAGCCTGTCTGTGGCCTAACAACAAGATGTCCCTGATACACTAAGCAATAAAAAGAAAATTAATTATTTAATTAAATTAAATTAATAAAAAGAATGTTATTGTTAGAAATAGATTTAAATATTTTATTTGTTAAATTTACTCTATGTATAAATTCTTCTACTCGCGTCTGCATTCCCCAGACTTCAAATGAGGCATGAACCAACTTGTAGGAACACATTATGGGTTGTGTCATGTCTCTCCAGCCTTCAACCAAGGGACCACGGCCCGTTCGTTTTGATTGGAAAAATTTAGGATCCTGTTATATTAATTACGATATAATGTTAAAACAACAATACAGATTGATTCAAGATTTTGTATAACCTACTTCCTCCTCTTTGTAATGCTTTGCAGAGATTTCATCATATGCAATATCCACAAAATCAACTTCTCTATGGATCAATTCAATAGGTGACAACCCTAAGCACTACAAGTTAACATATTAATAAAGAATTAATAACTATAATGAAAATTAGAAACGCATTCAGGTAATAATTATGTAGCAAATGACTTACATTTTCTGTCGAACCATTGTTATCTTCATAACGTGTATTTATTGCTACATGAAACTTTGGGATGAAGGAACACTGAAAGAGAAAAATTCAGGAATAATTGGAAATTTTATGGTTATATCCATGTTTATATTTACTTACAGTATATTCTGTGGTCATCACGAATAAGCATGCAAGAAAATGAATAAGATTAATAAAAAAAAATTATCTTTTATATCAATTATAGGCAAAAAAGTTTAAGAGCCATTATCATTATTAATATTACAAGACCTAAGAGTTGATTTCAGATTCAATATTTTGTATGCAAGATTAACAATGCTGCAGCTGTGAACATTGATCGTGTGTGTGTGTGTGTGTGTGTGTGTGTGTGTGTGTGTGTGTAGAGAAAGAGAGAGAGAGAGAGAGAGAGAGAGAGAGAGAGAGAGAGAGAGAGAGAGATAATAAAATATATTATTAAAATAAAATATACCTGTAATAGTAAAAGGATAATAGTTCCATGCTTTTTCTGTCACATAAAATATTCGTGGTAAGATAGATTGTATCCAGTAAGGAAGTTTACTGCAAGGTAAATAAAAGATTATAATAATTATGTAAAAGAGAATACAATACTATTCTAGTTGATTAATATTTAGACACAGACACGTACATGTGCACATATGCGTCACAGTAAAACTTATTAAGAATAAATTTACCTAGAAAGATGGATTCTTTTCTCTGTATACTGGCCTTTTCCATGTAAAGGATCTTCGCAAGTGGTATTTTCTATAACTTCTACTCCCTCATCGGAATCAGATTGCTCATGACTATGTCTAGCAATCATATATAACTGGCCAATGCGATACTATACAAAAATAGAATGGTTAGTTCAAAAGTATCATTGGGAAAGTTATATTCTCTGACAGGTTCATACATAATACGTAACAGTATACAACAATAATCTCTAGACAAATATAAATGTCGGTGCTGGATGGACAAATTAATATATAAATAAATACAATAGTTTCATGTATTATACCTCCTCCTTAGTAAGCGGCATGCAAATGCGATATTCTTTTGTGAGAACCATTGTCAGTGAAGTTGATCCTTGCTTGTTGTTAATTAATTAATTGACACTTTCCTTTTCGAATATTCGCACGAAGGATCCAAGACCGCTAGTCAGCGTCAATTTCAGCAGATAAACAATCCGCCATAGTGAGTGAAGTTCACCGTATCGTGACGAAAATCGATAGTCGAAGTGGTAAGTTACGAATAAGAAAATCACTATTGTGAGTTGGTGATTATGAAAATCACTAAGCAGTAGTTCGGTGACAATTTCACGTGTTACGTGTACAAAAATTGTGCGGATAACAAATTCGTGATATGATGTGCAGGTAACACCGACGCGTTAGTGCAACATGCGATGGTGAAGCAGGCAAGGATAAGAGGCGGCGGAATTATAGCTGCGTGGTCTCGGTGTGAAGGAAGGAATTCAGACGGAGGAAAGCCGATCGGCGCCAATGGCCTACGAAGCGTTATGGCATGAGTACATGCAGATGCCTGTGGTGACGCGGGCTTATACCACAGCCTGTGTCATCACAACTCTCGCCGTGGTACTCATCTTGGTTTTTTTTCGCAGCCTTTAGCTGTGTATATGATGACTACACGACTACGCTTCTACATAACTTGTTTCTCGTTTTCGTAACCTCTTAGACGCTCGGATTTTTTCAATTTGTACTTTTCACTTTGCGGATTCCTAGGTTTCCTAAATTCTGGGATTCTTGAATCTCCGGAATCTCGAAATCCTTGGATTTTCAGACATTCAGATTTTTGCATTCTCTTGTATTAATTCTTACCATGATATTCTCCTTAGTTTCGTACACATGCCACGCGTGCGCATGCACACATGCACGCGCGCGCGCGTGCGTGCACACACACACACACACACACACACCACACACCATCCGCACGCGCGCATATATACATACATACGCACACAATAATCAATAATTATATAAAAGTCAATGCAATTTGCGTACAACAGTAACAAAATATTGAAAATTTTACTAAATGATTTGTAAAATTAAACAATTTATTTTAACATATATTTATATTTTAGCAATTGGACCTGGTATCTCCGTTTCAGCTATATTTTAATCCAATCCTTATAATTGAGCAATACCAGGTATGTAAGTACCTATGCAGCATGTATCTCTATACAATAGTTATTATTAAGCGGTATACTTGCTCTACACATATCTGTTAAATGATGCAACAAATTATTTCAGATATGGCGGTTGATAACAACATTCCTATTCTTTGGAAATATAGGTTTCAACCTACTCTTCAATATGATCTTCACATATCGGTATTGTCGTATGTTAGAAGAAGGATCCTTTCGCAGGAGAACAGCTGATTTTGTAATGATGTTCATTTTTGGTGGAATATGCATGATTGTATCCTTGGCAAATTATCATAATTGAGATTGTTGATGCCGTTACTTGAGAATACTGTATTTTTGAAAACATTCCATGGCTGCATCCTTAACTTTTAGTATTTTAGACTTTTGCATTTTTTGTCAATTTGCTGTTCCTAGGACATGCATTCACAATAATGTTGGTGTATGTCTGGTCACGACGAAATCCTTTCGTCAGGATGAATTTTTTTGGACTGTTAAACTTCCAGGTAAGTTTTGCTAAAAAGAGTTAGAATGGATCATATCCAATTGAAAGAGCTATTATTATTTTGACTTGTATCAGTCAAACATCTACGATAATAATCACTGTATTTACAGGCTCCGTATCTACCGTGGGTGCTGCTAGGCTTCTCGGTATTACTTGGTAATACGATATGGGTCGATCTAGTTGGAATGGCAGTAGGACATACATATTATTTCGCGGAGGACGTATTCCCCCGATTAAGAGGAGGTTTTCGAATCTTGAAAACCCCGCAAATACTGTAAGTAGTAATTACTTTTAGTTATTACATGTTTGATATTAAAGTAATGTTTATATCTCCAAAATTATATACCGAATTATGTATTGTATCAATTTAATTTTCGAAATAATTTTTATCGAAATGTACTTCGCTTACGAAGGAAATTATATTTTGTCTTACTATTAAATAGTAACAAACGATTAGATTTATCAATGGTAATGTTTAGTCTGGCATTTTTCCTCTTCAGTAAGACTTTATTCGACGCACATCCGGAAGATCCAGATTATATGCCGCCGCCGGAAGATCGGCCAGGTGGCTTCAATTGGGGACAGGCTAACGTGCAGTGATCGAAATTCCATAGCTCACTTTCTGATGTTATTTATGACATCACCCAAAAATATTACGGCAGGCTGCGGCTCTGTTGCTGTTCTTGCTTGCTTTGGAATTATTGATAACAAGCGTTCGGATTTGCACCCAAAGATGCGTAATATGAAGAGTAATATATATATATATATATGTATATATATATATATACATACACACACACACACACACACACACACACACACACACATATATATATATATATAGACTGTATAAACGATTGAATGATTTCTTTCAAATGAGAATTTCCCAATAAATTTGTGGAGTTGGCGCTTCTTCAGCAAAAATTCGTCGCAAGGATTCGTCCAATTACAAATTTCATTCAAGATTGGAGACCGACGATAGTTTGCACTCAAATAATTATCGAGCAAAAAGTGTCTCAAGAGAAAAAAAATTATAGTTCAGAGAAAGCAATTCTTTTTAGATACTTTGTACGCAGACGAGAAAGCTGGGGAGATGTGTGTACTGGCCGCTTATCGTATAATTAGCCATTATTGAATTTCGTCGATGTCGATTTATATACATACACGTTCTTAGCTATTCGTTTCTGCGTACGAAATCCAGATTCCACTAATTAATCTTTTGATAATCAAGTGTCACGCTTTTATTATTATGCTGCGAAGAAGAATAATGGTTTGGACTTGTTCAAAGTGTGTGTGCGGCGCTCATATAAGGCGCTGCCGAGTTATTTCTGTTTCTAATCAAAAATTTTTTTTTTCTCTCTTCGATACATCTGGTGTGGTGTTTAACTGTGTAAAGATTAATATTTATAACTTTGGTTTATTATTATTAAGTTGTTGCGTGCAGGATGTTCTCTGTACATAACTTCACACCATGTATAGTAGTTCATTTTATTCTGATATATTGTAATGGTTTTAATGCCGAATGTTAAAATGTTCGTAGATTGTCTGGATTTCGTAATTTAATTTTGCAATTCAATGGAAATGATGATTTTACGCACGCGAGTACTATCAAATTGGCATTCCGATGATTAAGCCAGTTAATTGTCTCTGTCGCGTATATGCACTCCCAATTCCGCGGCAAACAAGGATTGTAATATTTGCAAATTTGTTAGATTTATTATTTATTGAAGGCAACTTGATTTTTGTAAAAGTGATCGATGGTGACATTTGTGATACATTCACCGTGCTCATAATTCTTGCATTAAACATTGAAGAGAAGGAAAGAAAGAGAACAAAAAAAGAAAATGCCATTACATGGGAGACTATTTTAGTGTGTATTAAAGCATTTAATTATATTTATTGCGGTAGCAAAATGTATAATCTAGGCAACATCTACAGAGTACAAATCGTTAAATATAAACTAAAGGAATAACACACACACACACACACGCGCGCCCACACACACACACACACACACACACGCGCGCGCGCGCACACACACACACACACACACACACACACACACACACACACACACACACACCTCCCATTCTCTTTGTTCATACGTGTATATTATATAATATGTGAATATAACAGAGACTTGCATTGATTATAGTTAATTACCGTCGTCTCTCTTTTTATAGAAACGATGGAAAAGTAACGTTCCTTTTTCTAGAATCAATGCGTCGTTCAATTAATATCTTCTTAATGTGTTATACACTTTCAATTTTATGTTCTGAGCACTTTGGTTACGAATTAAACAATTAATACATTATTTAGAAATTTTTTATGATATGAATCATTAAATTTATGATATAACATTGAACATTTTAATTTTTTTATTTAAACTTCTCCCTGATATGGAATGATGAACATTACTTTGCCACGTGCAATTAATTAATAAATGACTAAATTAGTAGATACGAACTTTTTCTGTGATCCCATGAGTATTGTGTGCAATAATATTAGTAAGCGAAGTAAAGACGACTAACGCGAGTCGCCTCTACGATTAAATGTTGATGCAGATTTATTTTGTGCATTTGATTGATTTGGCACATTGATTTGGATAAAGGATAAGGGAGCTTCGTACTTCCGAGGAATATATATATATATAATCGCATTATAATTATACAATCTCTAAGATACTTCCACAGTTTAAGCCACTGGAATCTTTCCCTTATACCTTCGATTTTTTGTGTTGTAACATAAGAATTGTAAAGATTTCCTTTCATTTACGTGTATGTTTATTTCTTCTCTTATATATTTTGCTTTCAAGATCTTGGGAGGTTTAACGACTTATTTTTTGTATTTTTGGAGTTCTCTGATCCACGGGACGATTGGGATACTTGAATCTTTATGAATCGACGAATTAAGTCTATCTAATTACATCTTGTATTCGTAATCCTGACGTGAGTGTACTGAATCTCGGATTTTTCAATAGCTTTTTAGCTACATTTTCTTCCTGAAATCCTGGAATTCCTGACCTCTTTTGGTTACGTTATGTAGATTATCATCTGGACAAACGGTCTAATTTACGATTATATCCACGATTATTTCTTGTTATCGCGCATTTGTATTAACTCCTTCAGTACTGAGAATGATGAGATATAAAGATCAACATCGATTTTCTCTTCTTTAGATTAGATTTTTACGCAATATCCTTCCGTATTTTATTTTTTTTTTTTATTATAGACGGTGTGGATGAGAGAGGGGAGAGTGGAAAAAAAATAAAATTAAGGAAACTATACGTGCGCGACATTCAATATATAAAGATGCTGGAAAGATGAATTGACAGACGCGTTCGCAATCGCCAAAGAGTTTAGTAAGACTTTAGTAATTAACGAGAAAAGAAAATGAGTATGAAATAATGAACAGGATAAGAGAAGTGATTTTACAAAACCATTTATTTCAATTTAAATAATAAATGATTTAAAGCGCAATAGGATAATAACGATGTATAACTGAATACACGTACGCAATGACATGGACTATAATACAATGATTATCGGGGCACTATCATACACTCATTCTTTATTGTTTTATCATATTGCCACTGTTGCTAAAAGCACCGTGATGTCGTCCGGCTTACCACCTGGAAGATTCGAAACTTGCTCTCCACATTCTGCATCTTTCGTCGCAAAATACTTTTCGCTTAATTTATTATTAAGTATTTCTAAACATTATATTTAACTTGTAATTTCCTTGCACTGCCGACTCAGTCATATTGAAAATGTACACTCAACGGAAAACAGTTTTGTAGCGTAATTAGTGTTTAATTATTTTAAAAACGAGAAAAAGTGATGGATATAATATCTAACGTTTCGAGAATTGAAGAGAACTTTTAAGAGTGCTTCTGTGAGATTTTTACGATGTAATTTTGTCCTATTTACACCGATACGATATCATGTGTTATAAGTGATTATAAACAATATCATTTCATTTTTTACATACCTATCGCGTCGATTCCGTTCTTCTGTGCACTTTGAGCAAACGGAGACATAAAGTCGCCATCGAAGGCCAACCTGCGCGCCATCCAGGCTATCGAGTTAGCGACGTTTTGTATTTTGGTCGGGTCCCTTTCACCTTCGATTTTTCGCATTTCAGTGACTAGCAACTGATCAGGCACATTGTCGAATACCCCGTCGGTCGCCAAGAGAATTACATCGCCATCTTCGACGCCGAAACTTGAAGTGTCGGCTGATTCTGGACTGTATAAGGAAAGGCGAATTATTCTTCACTGAACGCGAATACAATATTATGTTGATGATATATACAAATATCACCCACCTGTCGCTAAGCACCAGACGAGAATGTCCCGGAGGTGGCAGCGATAATTGGAAGGGAGTATTGAAGTAATGTTGTTGCTCGGACGAGCGATGCACTACTTCCCCTCTTCGTACGACAACAAAGCCACTATCTCCTATATTAGCTGTGTAAATGCTGCTTGTCTCTTTATTGAGAACTATGACGCATGCGGTGCTACTACCTGAAACAAGTGGTATGACAGAAAAATGGATGAATAACGAGTCGACTCTAAACATTAATGTATTTATGCCGTTGGAATATAATTTACATACCTAATATTGGTTGTTTACTTTCTAATAATTCGTAGTAACTACGTGCTAATAAACCAGATGGTTCTGTAGGTGCGAATTTGTCCATAGAAACTAGTCTCTCACAAGTCTTCATCAAACAACTAGAAAACTCTCCCGGATCGATTCCATAATGTCGCCATCCTCCTACACCATCAGCTACACCTGAAAAATAACACAAATTTAATATAATTAGTATTGCAATTGTACGCAATTAATATTAATTAGAACATAATCTTAGAAGACAGTCATGTGTAAATAACTGCACAAAGTAAAGTAATTCATTGCGTCATAGCTTCAGGTTCAGTGTCCATATTGCTTCACACACTAGCAACAATGTTAATTATCTAACTTAACTATGTATAAGATTCATTAAACTGCTATTTCTTGCAATCTAGAAGTGAAAATTGCATGAATAAAATATAAAACTTTCTCTATAACTCACCACAGATTACATAGAAAAAGAACATATATTAAAAATTTCATATTCAAACAATATACAGACATCTAGCAAAATTACAAGTATAAGTTATATATTACTTAACTAAAAATATACATGCAAATTTAGATGATTAGTATGTTTCTTTCATAGTTGTATATTTGTGTTTTTTCTATTAAAAATAAAACCTATATTCATATTTAAAAGCAAAGAAAAAAAAATTGAATATTAAAGAATACAGAAAATACAAGGAGATTTGAATCCTGTCTTTCCAATTTTATGAGTTTTGAGATTTTCAGTTGTACTTTCCATTTTAAAGCAAAATGTTTTCATTCAGAAGCTTCAACTAGCAGAACAAGAGGATAAAGAAGTAACGCAAACTTACAAAAAGTAAAGAAGAAAAGTAAAAAGGTATATATATTCATGCTCTTGGTCTGAATTAACACTAATGACAAGTTAATGTCATAAATGTAAAATTCTTAAACAAAATTTAAACCTATTTTTTCCACAGTTGTATTTTATATATATATCGCACCAACTTCACTAATTTATACTTTCTGCATTTGAGAAGAGACACATTATACATATATATAAAATATGAAAAAAAAAAGAAAAGAAATAGAAGCCTGGACCATGTATGACCAAAGCAATAGTCGTCGATGTACGTCGCATCGCGTCGCTTTCTCTCCTCCTCCTCCTCCTCCTCCTCCACCTCCTCCTCCTTTTCCTTCTCGTCCTCCTCCTCCTTCTCCTACTCATTACTCTCTCTCTCTCTCTCTCTCTCTCTCTCTCTCTCTCTCTCTCTCTCTCTCTCTCTCTCTCTCACTCACTCACTCTTTCTTTCTCACTCATCCTTACCTATAACTTCGCCAGCCTTGAATTTGGCGCTGAACCAGGCGTCATCGCCGAATTGACCTTTGCGTACTCGACTCCGCTTAAAGTCTTTTGGGAAACCGCATACAGCGGAGATGAACGAGGCCTCGCGACGCTTATTACTTGTGACAAATCCCGCGTTCGTTTGCTGCTCGGCGCCGCAGGCGGAGTAGCTCGCGATACTGTTCCAAAGTGCTCGCGACAGTAGCCGACCGGTCCAATAAATCGACTGCATCACGAATCTCGACGCCGAATGCTAGACTCTGGAGTGACACGCTCACAACTTCCGCACCACCAGCACCAACACCGACGAGAACGATGACGGGTTTACGACGCGCATCCTTCTGTCCGCACTCCCGTCTCGTTTCACTATACCCAATAGGTTATTTCGCACCCCGAGCACTCGCGAATACCACGCAGCACTCAAATGCGAGTTCACGATCGTTCTGGCTAATCTCTATTTGTGACTTTCGTCTTGCTTAGCTCTCACTCAATAAAGGCAATTAGACTCAAAAGACCGTAAAACGCGAAATTTGCGAAATCTGCGATCATTCTCGCAGAACTCCGTTCCTTCGTCACACTCTCAATCACACTGTTTCACGAAATGCATGCAGGAGAATTTGCAACTGACTCAATGTGCCGTCACGTGGCGCGCTGTCGTCGACAATTATCAAATTGCAATCGATTTCTGGGAGCCGCTAGCCGTTTTTCAGCACTGAGGAACACTGTATTGCACAAAGCTATTTTATTGGCTGTATATTATCTTGGAAAATAGCTCTGAAATATATAACCAATAGAATGACCGCATTTAGCAGAAAAGCTGTTTACATAGGCTGCGTTCCGAAATTCACTGTCAGTACTGAGAATACATATGGTCTGTTCTTTTCAGCTGCACTGCGGAACTAGTGCAATAAGTTAGAATGAGACAACTATATTTTTTCTCACTTTAACTTATTGCACCAGTTCAGTAGTGCAGCTGAAAAGAACAGACCATTGGTTTGTGTCATGTATACCATAGAATTTCAGCGCTGGCAGTGAATATCGGAACGCAGTCTAAGCACTTAGCGATTCTTGTTCCTAATTGGTTTGTTCTTCTGGATCCGTTAAAGATCTAACAGAATACTCCAATAATAGATAATAATCGAACTATATATAAATATAGATAATAATCGAACTATATATAAACGATAATATATATCACTATTTGGCTGCGTCCCGATATTCACTGCTAATACGGGAAAATATATACTTTTATGTCACATATATTATAGATTTTCAGTACTGGCAGTGAATATCGGAACGCAGCCTATATCACATATACCGGAAAATTATTTGTACCTCGGAGGAAATTGTCTTCCGAGTAAAATTAATTGAAAAATAAAACCGGAATTAACAAGTTCAGGCAGTTCAAATTTATATATATATTAATCGTAAACTCCCAAAGACTATCTCTCCCACTTTCTTTTTCTATGCTTCAGAGTTGAAAAATAAATTCTACAAGGCATAAAGACTAGGCAAAGATACAAGTGTTCGTGTTACCTTTGGTAGCCACAGATGAGATAAGCCTACAGCACACGGTGCTTGTTTTCGTGCTGGATTGCTTGCTGGATGAAAATACTGCGTTCTGATTGGTGCATTTCCATCCATCTTCGGAAATGTACCAATCACAACGCAATAGTTTCATCCAGCAAGCAATCCAGCACGAAAACAAGCATCGGGTGCCGCTGGCTTTATATTTAAGGCCGTCTTAAATTCACTTTCAGATACCCCATAGCCAATGAAATGATTTGTACAGCATCTGAAGATAAACTTTAAGACGGTCATCTTAAATATAAGATTCGACTATGAATACCGGTCTTTTAGTGAAGTCCAATTACACGCTAGAAATGTTAAGTTTTAATTGGCGCATTTCTAATGCGTTACCAGATCCACTAGATTACACTAGATCTTACACTAGATCCAGCAGAAAAGCGGCTTATAAAGCCGGCGGCACACGGTGCTTGTTTTCGTGCTGGATGAAAATACTGCGTTCTGATTGGTGCATTTCCGAAGATGGATGGAACCGGCGATGCCGCCGGTTTAAGCCACTTAATTGGCTGTAAACCAGTTTTTAAAGACACTTTTAGTGATAAAAGAAGGTTCAAAATATGGATCTTAGGCCGGTATTCATAGTCGGATCTTATATTATATATATAGATATTATATTATATATATAAATCTTATATTATTTATATATAATATATATAGACCAGCCTTAAGCCTGTATCAGACTACGGATTGGGATTGTGTATTGGATTAAAATTTAATCAATCAGGGTACCTATTATGGAACTCGTCGGAATCGATTCCGATCGAATTTATCCCGTTATTTCCTAGATTTCTATTGTTTTTTCTAGGGAAACGGAATTATTCCGATCGGAATCGATTCCGACGAGTTCCATAATAGGTACCCTGGAGTAAGTTTACTAGATTATTTTCTTTTTACCAATTGGGCAAATTTCAATCCAATCTCAATCCGAATCCATCCACAGTCTGACACACGGGGCTTTAGTATACACTCAATGCACTAGTGCAATAAGTGCAAAAAGTCGAAGAAGAACAAACCTCTTGTATTTTATCGGTTGCACAACAATTTCCGTTTGCAACTGGCCAATGAAATCCCAATCCTTTAGCCGAGATTGGGACACGAGAGGGAGGTTTCCCATCTAGTTACATCAGACGAGACAGGCACAATCTATGGTGCACTATGGCGAAATTTAACATATGCACGCGCACGTGTAACATATTTTGTACGCGATCGCGTTGTTCTTTGACATTTCTGCCATTATAATGATGTAACAAGACCTCGCTCCATCTTTCTCTCTCTTTCTCTCTATTTCTCTCTCTCTTTCTCTCTCTCTCTTTTCTCTCGGACGACCGCTTTCTAAGTTTTAAATTATTTTCAACGATTCTTTGCGGATTAAAAAATGAGCACGATTCTGGAGAAAATCACCTCTATCGAGGCTGAGGTAACCTCTTTTCTACTGTTCGTGTCACCTGCTCGTGATTCGAGACATTGTCATTTAACGATGAACCGCTCTTGCAGATGGCTCGGACTCAAAAGAACAAGGCGACTTCTGGGCATTTGGGTCTGCTGAAGGCGAAATTAGCCAAACTCAGACGCGAGTTGATCACTCCGAAGGGAGGTGGTGGGGGCGGCGAACAGGGTTTTGAAGTTGCCAAGACCGGTGACGCACGCATTGGCTTCGTCGGTTTGTTTCTTGAATTAAACGATTGATATTTTATGAACCATACTTTCCGTACGCTTTACTCTGTTTGCATTATTCTGACAGATGGATGGACAGATTTTGTCGATACTCTTTCAATTAGATTACAAAGCTCCATTAGGACATGATACGACATGTCTTGAATATTATATAATTGTGTGCATAATTGTTACTTATTCTCAAGTAATAATCAATAAGATTTTACATAGACTGAATTTGTAGGCTTTCCATCTGTTGGAAAATCTACCTTGCTAAGTACTTTGGCTGGTGTATATTCTGAGGTGGCTGAATATGAATTCACAACGCTTACAACAGTTCCTGGATGTATAAAATACAAAGGTGCAAAGATACAGGTGAGTGAACATGTCTACTCTTCTTGATTTTAGTTTGTCTTGTGCATGTTACGGTTTATACAATTGTCATTGATATTCTTTAAGGTATTCTCAGTGTGGCTTACTTTGATATTTTTTCGTATATGGAGCCAAACATACACGAAAATAAAATTAAATAAAATTGTAATGGAGTGTACCTTGCAGCTGTTAGATCTTCCAGGTATTATAGAGGGTGCAAAGGATGGTAAGGGACGCGGACGACAGGTCATAGCTGTGGCGCGAACCTGCAGCCTAATTTTTATTGTTCTGGATGTGCTCAAGCCGCTCGGTCACAAACGATTAATCGAACACGAACTGGAAGGTTTTGGACTGCGACTGAACAAGCAGCCACCGAATATAACTTTTAAGAAGAAAGACAAGGGTGGTATCAATCTGCAGACCTTGGTGAGAGAATACACTGTCGAATATATAATTCGTCGATGGTAATGTGATCTGTGTGACGTAATATCTTGAAATCAAGGTAAATTGTTATATCCTTTCAGTGCGCACAATCCGAGCTCGATTTCGATACGGTGAAGATGATCCTGTCGGAGTACAAAATCAGTAATGCAGACATCACACTGAGGTACGACGCTACCTCCGACGATCTGATCGACGTTATAGAAGGAAATCGCGTTTACATCCCTTGTATTTACCTATTGAATAAAATAGGTAATATTATTGTAACTGATCAAGTTGGATTATAATAACAGAAGGAGGATTTCTGCATGGACTGTTGATTTTCTTGCAGATCAAATAAGTATAGAGGAACTGGACATTATTTATAAGATTCCACACTGTGTACCGATCTCTGCACATCACAAGTGGAATTTCGATGATCTACTGGAAAAAATGTGGGATTATTTGCAACTCGTTAGAATGTAATTTCATACAATCTAAAATTATAGTCTTAAGTTTCACAAGACGGTTTAGTTGTAAATTTAGTTCTATTGCATATCCAACAATATCAATCTATTTATTGACAGTTACACCAAGCCGAAAGGACAACTCCCAGATTATAACGCGCCTGTGGTGTTAAACACGGAAAAGCGAACGGTCGAAGATTTTTGTAATAAGCTTCACAGGTCGATCGCGAAAGAATTCAAGTAGTAAGTTTACGTGACTTCATCGAAGTTTTGAGAGAAGGATTGTAATTTGTACAGCCTTCTTTTTTTTTCTTTTTGTTATTAATTAAATGACAAATTATTGTGTTATAGTGCATTGGTGTGGGGTTCATCGGTGAAGCACCAACCACAGAAGGTGGGGAAAGATCATCTTCTTTGTGACGAAGATGTTGTGCAGATCGTAAAAAAAGTGTGATCTTATCGTGTGCGTCATTGTATGACTATTTCTCGGCAGCGCAGGAAAAGAATAAGATTTATTAATGAGAATAATGTGAAATTTATAATTAAATTGATAAGTAACATACACACGTATACATCCCTTTTGTAATTCTCGTAAAGTTCTCGTAAGTTCTCGTAAAAAGCAACGAGTCTAATCGTGATTTCGCTGAATGAATCTAACCAAAATTCCTTTTTCCTATTTTTGATTAGAGAACCTACACTAGAAACTGAACATCTTAAAGGTCATCACGCATGCACGCGCACACACACACACACACACACACACACACACACACACACACACACACACACACACACACACACACACACACACACACACACACACACACACACACATATATACTTTCCGTAAGCATAACAGTAAAGTCTTCTTGCTGTCAACTATTGTCAATACAATGACAGCAAGAGTAATGAATGGAAAGGGTAGTCTTTAGACGTAGGCTGTAGAATTAAAATCTTCTCAATGTCTACAATGCCGGGTCGACTTCCGCCGCTTTATGGAAAGTCTAGTGATAATCCTACGGATATGGCGCCGGAAAAATGGCGGCGATGAATACACGATGCTCATACACGATGAGTGTGTGCGTTTGTTAACCCGTCGCGCGTAAACTCAACGTCGTGTACGCGTCGCATAATAAATAAATATGATCTTTTCATTGTAAACACAATATTTAACATTCTTACAGTTCAATTGAAGAATTAGAAAAGTAATATGTCCGATATATATGTCTGCGAAAACTATTTATAATGCTGTGAAAATGTTTTCTAACCTTGCTCTTCAAAGTAATGAGAACAATAACAGATATTTATGTTGGAAAAAAGAATTGTAATATGTATAAATATGAAAAATAAAATAACATTGAATAATTACATGTATGTTTGTAGATATGTCAAGCTGCAGTGTTCCAGGGTGTTCTAATCGCATGACGAAAGGAAAGAATCATATGGCTTGCTACTACTATAAATTCGGAGAGTGCAAGAGTATTTCAATCCAAATTTTATTTAGCGCCTTTTCGCGCTCCGTGAGCGCGCGGGGTTCCGTATTGGTACCCCGCCATTTTCCAGGCACAAGTCGACACTAGGTAGTCGTTATTAGCTTCGAGGTTTCCGCCACTACTATCCTTGATGAGAGAATCGAAGACTCGCTGCAGAAACGAATATTTTATTTTCGAATATGTATTTTCACTTTCTTTACATTTTATGCGCAAAGATTTAATTTATTCTTTACACACCGTACATATAACACGTATATATAAGCACGGATACATATGGTCTTAAACGTCAAGTTATTACAAACTCTTTAAAATATATTCCTTTCTTTGCTGATCTAATAATTTTTCTAAATATTCGCATTTTGAAACGGCATCGTTGAGTTTTTTATTGAGGTCCTTTATAATCAGAATCTTTTGAGTGAATACAAGTTTTACTCTGAAATAATAAGAATACAATATATTTAAAGATTACGCATTTCATACGGTGGCGGTGTATCTCAGTTCTATTTGGTAACGAGATCTCTTTGAATCGTTAACCTGCTATGTAATTGCATCATAAGTTGATCTCTGTTAGCATTATTCCGAGCTATTTCCTGATGGAGCGAGGCAATCTTGTTTTCCAGCTCCCTTTTATCTATTTCTATTTCCTTTCGTGCTATTTCCTTCGCGTTGTCCCTCTCTACAGTTAATTTTGCTATTGTCTATAAATCGAACAGTCATCAAATTGCGGTTTCTCTTTTCTCTCTTTTAATTTTTCTTTTCTTTTAAGTGAAACCACGGGGATTATATCGCTTATATCGATTATATCATGTTTGCAAACTTTACCTGATTCATATTATGTAGATTTGACATGCATTCTTTAAATTTATTTTCTATTTTCTCAAGTTGCACTTCTGCGGATGTAGATCTCTTCTCCAGTAGCGACAATTTGTTCTTATAAATGCTCTCACTTTTAATCGCAGCCTGCAGCCTCGCGTCGTATTCTTCCTTCGTTAGTCTGAAAGCATGAATTACGCGCAGTTACGTTTATACAGAAGTCGAAGAAATATATACACGTCGTTCGGCTTACTGAAGTTTATCATCAAAATTTTGCTGCAACTTAGCTCGCATGTCGCGAGATTCCTTCTCCAGTCTGGATATAGCGATTTCTATCTGCTTGTCCCTCTCCCTCTGACAATCATTACGAATCATAGTTTCCGCTCTTGTAAAACTTGCGCTTTGTTGCCTCTTATAATCATCCGCCCAGGCGAGCCATTCTTCTCTCAAAGATTCTTCGAAATTTTTCTTCGCAATCTCATGTTGCTCTCTCAGCGTTTCTGTTTTTTCCTGCGAATGAAACCTTTGCGTTTGTTGCAAGATATGTATATATATATATATATATATATATATATATATATATATATACATACACACACAAGGATAGTCCCAGAAGTACCTGACCTGACGTATAGATAGCGGTTGTTGTTTGAAAAGAATGACTATCGTAGAAAGTATTAACCTTATAAAGCTTAAGTTTGAAGTTTGACGACGCTACGTTGTTTAGTATTTGTTTGGCAGCCGTCAATAGTGAACGTTCTCAGTGAATTCGTAAACATGGAAAAAATTGGTCATCGTTATATGATACAATACTTTCATTTGAAAGGCCTCAGTCCAACCAATATCAAAGCGGAGCTAGATTCTCTACTCTGGGGGAGTCTGCTCCTTCATTTACAACAGTAAAATATTGGGTGGCAGAGTTTAAACGAGGCCGTACGAGCTGCCAAGACGAACGTCGCACTGGTCGACCAAATGAGGTGACCACACCAGAAATGGTGAAGAAAATCCATCCAAATGGTATCGGATGACCGTCGACTGCGAAAGTGCGCGAGTTAGCAGACATGGTAGGCATTTCAAAAAGTACTGTACATCGCATATTGACTGAAAATTTGGACATGAGAAAGCTATGCGCAAGATGGGTGCCGCGATTGGAACAAAAACAGCGTCGTGAGGATGTTTCAATCGAGTGTTTGGCGAAGTTTCGCAGCATTAAAGCCGAGTTTTTGCGTCGATTCATAACCATGGATGAAACATGGGCCCATCATTTTACACCGAGGAACGAAGGAACAGTCAAAACAATGGACCAAGGTGGCTTGATGGCTATTCGTCGAGGAGCTCGACGATTCCTACTATAAACAGGGTATCGAAGCTATTGAGCATCGCTGGGAAAAGTGTATTGAGCTAAAAGGAGACTATATAGAGAAATAAAGATATTTTTTCCCAAATTTTTTATGTTTTCTTTGTTAGGTCAGGTACTTCTGGGACTACCCTCGTATCGTATATTCTTTATGTTACTTTCCTTCTTTGCTCAAATGTACCTGAAAGCGCAACTGCGTCTGCTGCATCATCATGCTTGTTTCCTGGTCACGCTTCTTTTGTTCCGCCAGGAGATTCAATCTGTCCTTCTCGAAGCGCTCCGCAAATGTACTCTGCAACATCCGAAAGTGCGCTTCTTGTTTCTCCAATTTCTCCTCATATCTGATCGAACAAAATTTTGATTAGGATATATTCACTTGTACTCATGGAAAATAACGCTAAGAATTACATATAATGTGATGACGATGACGATAATGATGATGATGATAACAACAACAACAACAACAACAACAACAACAACAACAACAACAACAACAACAACAATAACAACAACAATAATAATAATACATGCGCGCGCGCGCGCAATCCTTTTTGCGACGCACCGTGCCGTCAGCATGTCCTTCTCCTTGGTCAAGAGCTTCTCGTGGTTGTCTGTCAACTCGATTCGCAATTGCTCCAATTGCTGATTGGATCTACGCAACGTCCGCAATTCCATATCCTGTAACTCCTTTATGTGAGCGCGTCTCAACTCTTGTATCTCTCGTTGATGTTGCTCCATCATGCTGTGCAATTCTGGCTCCAGCCCTTTCACCGTCATTTCCTGCGATTAAATCGAAATCGATTAAGCTGTCTGATTTCTAATTATTTATCGCGCCGTACTCAATTACGCCGTGCGATTGAGGGTCGCGACCGACCCGAAAGGGGAAAAATCCCCGCACATTTTATCGCGAATTATATATAAATAGAGCGATGATTTTCACCTTGATTTTCGAGGTCTTCATCTCCAGCCATCGTTCGCGCCGTATCTTCTCCGCCGCCGCGGCGTTCTCCCTCATGCGTTGCAACTCCACGGCATGTCTCTCGTTGATTACTTTCACATTCCGTTGAATCTTCTGCTCCATCTCTTTCATCTGTCGCACTAAAGAGTCGCATTTCTGCGTGAGATCCGTCTTCTCGGCGATCAGCTGCTCGATGAACCTCTGATGGCGCTCCACCATCGTCCTGTAATTGCTCTTCAGCTCCTTCGTCTTCGTGTCGTAACATTGCCTCTGCGTGTTGATTTTGTCGCACGCAGTCTCACGCTCGGACTTCAATTGATCCTTCAGACACTCGATCGTCGCATTCTTCTCTTCTATCTGCAGTCTCGCGGTCTCCAGATCGTCCCGCCGGCAGCTGGAAGCTGTCAGACCGTTCCCTGTCTCGTATCTGCCGAAGAAGCGGTATATCTTTTGGTATAACAAATTTCCTCCCATCTCGGAATACCCCGTGAATTCTGCGATACTCCGTCGAGAGTGAATTCATCGTTCGATCATGGTCTCACCTGCTGGGACCTCGACAAGATGAAATTATAGTTGCTGCGCCGTCGGCAATAATGTTATCATTCACTTGTACGCCTTCTGCGAAGCAGCAAAAAATCGTGGCGTTGCAGGAGCCAAAGTTGCGGAGGATTTAAAAGAGAATCAAGTAACTTAAATTAATATAATTAGCGACAGTTGATTCGTCGAGTGTCAATACCGTTTTCGAGAGTTCCTAGGAAGGACATTATGTCGTCGTAGGTCGTTACGAGTGACGTGCATTTTTCACCGTTCACATCTCTCTCCGGCTCAATCTGCACTTATAATCGTGATAGTTTATGTAATAATTATCTAATCACTGTAATTAATATACTTGTAGACCCAATTGATTGTAATTAATAAGAGAGAATCGTGTGCCTTAGCTTACCGTAATAATAATAATTATTGCCGTAATAATATATACGAGTATAATTGAATATTAAATAATCTTTCAATAATTTGGGTTAGAAAATATGAAATTTGGCATTTGGATTCTTGACGAATTGACAGATATCGGCGAGTAAGAGATTCCGATCGCTTACTTGCTCCGGAGAGTTGCGTGATGCTACCCTCAAATCAGCATCGTACTTTGTGCACGTTTCAATTCGTTTGCGTACCGTCATTTCGATACTGCTGCTATTCTTCTCTAATTGGTTTAGCATGTCGCACAGTTGCTCAAACGAGCCAGGTGATTCGATCAGGTTCTGGTTGAAATCGCGCTTTTCCTCACATAAACTCTCAATCTCCATAGCTTGCTTTCTTTTTCTCTTAATTTGTTCTGTTTAATATATTTGCTAATATAAAAGTTTCTCGTGCGTTTCGACGCACATCCGCCAGGCACCCACCTAATCACGCTGCCAAAGAATCGTTAGCTCAACTCACCGGCACCGGCACAGACTTACAGACTTACACGCCGCCGTGCACACGCTTTTATTTACGCATTGGCCGACGATATTGCCATGACGATGTGCCGCAAACAAGAGCAGTGTTCCTGCCTTAACCGGCTTAACGCCCTAGGGAAAATGCACATTCACAGGAATAACTTTTGATATTCGATCATGTGTCAATGGAGATTTACCTGTTCCTGTTCCTGTTCAATTTTTATTTTTAATTTCGATAATCAATGTACGTTAAAACGATGTATTTTATGTGACTGCAGACACACTCACATATATTTATATATTTATATTTATATGCGATAAGCAGATATTAAATAATTAATGCGGTTAACCAATAGGATTAATGGATTAAATAAATCATCAGCAGACTTCCTGTCTCTCATAATTTCTGTTTCTTATCGTCCTTTGATTGATGTTGGAAATGTTGATAGGATTTGGCAATTCAGAAGGAGAGAGGAGGAAGCTTGTAGACTAGATTTAGAAGAAATGTTCATGCAGCCATCACAATTGGTTTCGCATCATTCAGCAACAGGAGGCAAGGTTTGATGAGCGTTTAATCAGCGATGCCTTTGGTGATTATGAACATTGTTACTTGTGATTTTTCCTCTCTCTGACGATAAATTAGTTACCTATGATAAAGGTGTACAAATATAGTCAAAACATTGGCGAGAAATCACTAATAATTAGACGATGAGAATTAGATGAGTAATGGCAATTGCTAATTGCAAAGCTATTTTATAATAAGACATTTTCTCTATTCTATTAAAATTCAGAGAATTCTAATAAAATAAGGACATGATAAATGTAGACGAGTAAATTATACGATATTAATATAGAAATAAACATCCGATTTGAATTACGTGTTGAAGAAACGCGCAACTTCTCCATATATTCCTTAACGATGGAAAAAGAAATGATGAAAGATGGAATAAACGATAAACAATAAACGATAAAGAACAACTTCTACAGTCCTAACGAGCTTATTAACGTTATCATTCGGTACTCTTTTCAAATCCCTCGCATAAAATTCGATAATATTCAATCACGTTGAAATCACAGATCCACTCTACACTCGATCTTTCTCATCTCAACTCTTGGTCAGGAAAAATCCTAGGGAAATCTTTCTCATCAGAATCTCGTTGATTTTACCATCATATCCCCTTTTACCCTTGGAGAGTGGAGAGGTCCTTAAGATTTTCCATGGAGTCTGAGCAGCAACTCTCGCTGCACCCTCGGCGGACGGCACGAGGGTGGTTTTCCCCACGTAGTCGCGATTGTCGGCTGTCGGTGGCGCTCGCGGGACAAGGTTTCCTAGGGGTTTCCGTGCGACGGGGGTGGTGAGGAAGGAAGGAGGGAGGGCGTACGTGCAGCAGCCCTTCCGACCCCTCGCGGCGTACGGTGGTACATACCGTAGGAGAATCGATCTGAAACTAGGAGTCGCCGCAGTAACCGCTGGGAGGAAGCCAGTGTTACAATTCGGGGGCCCTGTATGCGCCAGTGAAATCTTAGACGCCGGTTAATCGTACGCACGGTGGTCGTCGGGTCGCTGCCGCCAGGTACGTCCACGTCGACGGACGTACGTACGTCGCAGCCCCTGCGCTCCTCTGTTCTTCATTTTCTCTCTTTTTCTCTCATTCTCTTTATTTCTTCTTTCTCTTTCTCTCTTCTTCCTTCCCCCTTTCTCACTCTCTCTCACTCTCTCTCTCTCTCTCTCTCTCTCTCTCTCTCTCTCTCTCTCTCTCTCTCTCTCTCTCTCTCCCCCTCTCCCTCCCTCCCTCTCTCTCTCTCTCTCCTCCTTCTCTCTCTCTCTCTCTCTCTTTCTGTCCTGGAAGAACAGAACGCACACGAGTGGCCGGCCGGGGTGGCCGTGCTTTAATCGCGGAACATAACGGTGGGTGTGCGCTCTTCGCTCTCGCGTGCGTGGGTGCGAGCGAGCGAGACGGAGCGAGGCGCGGCACCGCGATTGCGACGGAGACGGCGATAGCGTCTCGGTGAGTCGCACGCGTGAGAAAGGAACGAAAAGGCAATTGTTATCAGTCAGTAAATCCAGCCAGCCAGCTAACCAGCCAGCCAGCCAGCCAATCAGCCAGCCAGCCAGCCAGCCAGCTAGCCAGCCAGCCAGCCAGCCAGACAGCCAGCCAGCCAGCCAGACAGCCAGCCAGTCAGCCAACCAGTCAACTAGTCAGCTAGCTAGCTAGTACGGATGGTCTGTCATCCGACTAGTAGTGAATCCAGCTTGCCAGCCAGTTAGGCCAAGTGTCGCGTTTCGCTCTCGCGTTCAAGAAACACGAGAAAGAGAAGGCAGGGACGAAACAAGAGAGTGAGGGGGAGAGAGAGAGAGAGAGAGAGAGAGAGAGAGAGAGAGAGGGAGGGAGGGAGAGAGAGAGGGAGAGAGAGAGGGGGGAGAGAGAGAGGGGGGAGAGAGAGAGAGAGGAAGAGAGAGGCAGAGAGAGAGAGAGAGAGAGAGAGAGAGAGAGAGAGAGAGAGAGAGAGAGAGAGAGAGAGAGAGAGAGAGAGAGAGAGAGAGAGAGAGAGAGAGAGAGAGAGAGAGAGAGAGAGATCTTACGAGGGTGTACGCGCGAGAGCAGGCTGGGCAGACAGCGCGACCAGAGAGTATATACGCGGTATAATGCGACGTGCACCCTTCTTTCTCATCTTGATGGCTTCTTTGGAATAAAGCCGCGCGCTTGCTGGGACGGTTCCTTACCTGCAGGGCTATGACGTAATGGCAAGAGAGGTACGCACATCCTTCTATGGACATATATCCTTTTCTTTCTTCGCCGAACGCATGCAGCATCTACTCCGCGCGAGATGCATCTTCGCGAATAACGTTTTTTTATATTTTTCCTTGTCTGTTTACTTACTACTTGATGTTCTATCTTGTTTGTCTGCCTATTTGCTTATTTGCTTCCCTCTCTGCCTGTCTGCCTGCTTACCTGCCTGCCTGCCTGCCTGCCTACCTGCCTGCCTGCTTGTATGTCTGCTTACGTATATGTCCATGTGCCGTGCCTAGCTAGCTTCCCGTTTGCCTGTCTGCTTGTGTACCTGCCTACCTACCTATCTGCCTGCCTGCCTACCTGCCTGCCTGTTTGTCTGCCTGCCTGTCTGCCTGCCTGCCTGTCTGCCTGCTTGCCTGCCTATCTGCCTGCCTGCCTGCCTGCCTGCCTGCCTGCCTGCCTGTTTGTCTGCCTGCCTGCCTGCCTGCCTGCCTGCCTGTTTGTCTGCCTGTCTGTCTGCCTGCCTGCCTGCCTGCCTGCTTGCCTGCCTGCCTGCCTGCCTGCCTGCCTGCCTGCCTGCCTGCCTGCCTGCCTGCCTGCCTGCCTGCCTGCCTGCCTGCCTGCCTGCCTGCCTGCCTACCTACCTGCCTGCCTGCCTGCCTGCCCGTCTGCCTGCTTGACTACCTGCCTACCTACCTATCTGCCTGCCTGCCTGCCTGCCTGCCTGCCTGCCTGCCTGCCTGCCTGCCTGCCTGCCTGCCTGCCTGTCTGCCTGCCTACCTGCCTGCCTGCCTGCCTGCCTGCCTACCTACCTGTCTGTCTGCCTGTCTGCCTGTCTGCTTGCCTGCCTGCTTGACTACCTGCCTACCTACCTATCTGCCTGCCTGCCTGCCTGCCTGCCTGCCTGCCTGCCTGCCTGCCTGCCTGCCTGCCTGCCTGTCTGCTTGTCTACCTGCCTACCTACCTACCTGCCTACCTGCCTGCCTGCCTGCCTGCCTGCCTGCCTGTCTGCCTGTCTGCCTGCCTATTTGTCTGCCTGCCTGCCTACTTGTCTGCCTCTTGCCTGTCTGCCTATCTACTTGCCTGCTTGCCTGGCTGCCCCTATTTGTTCGTCTGTCCGTCTGATTATCTATCTGTCGCTCGTCTTTGCCGCGAATAAGAACGAGATTGTCGTCGTGGAAGTTCTCCTCTCCGCGGAGGACGCCTCTCGGTGACCTATTTTCACGTGACCTCGTGACACCCGACGGTCCTCGGCTTGCACCCCCAGAGTGCATCACCCTCTCGGCAAGGCCGAACGACCGAAGGGACAAGCCCTTCTGCCCATTCTCCTCCTCAATGTGCGCGTTTCTCTCGCATGTGAAGGTGTTAGTGCTCTAGTTTCTCGTTCGTAGATCCTTCTCGGCATCGTTTCACTCTTTGGGAATACCACGTGTGCCTTGATATTTTTTGCCTTCGGAGATCTGCTTTGCCTTCGGATTTTTGGTAACCAAGAATATTCCTCGGAACGGAATTACGTTCGTCGGAATTCCTGAGGTTCCTCACGTTCGCGTGCTCTCCGTTGGGTTATTTCGCGCGTGCACCGAGGAAACGTTCCTCTACGGAAACTCTTGCCGATTGCCACTAGACTCTACATGTTGGTTTTCGAGGATACTCCCCGGCAATTATATTACTCGATAATTTTTTGAGGTCTTTCACTCTTTGTTGTACTCGCGCGACCTGCCACGTTCCAGCAACGTTCCGTCCATTGTGACGGACAGGCTTTTTCTTCATTTGTAATATAGGAAGGAATATAGTTGTAGAGAGACTCGACGCTATTGTCCTAGTTTGTGGACATGTTCTGAGTTATGATCCAAGTCGTTTATCACCACCCATGACTTCTAAGGGGAATAATAAATTGAGATATATACGCTCGCAAGGGGATGTGATTGAATACATTACTCTTCTATAAAAATTAAATAAAAGATCGAACGTCCGAAAGACGTTCTTTAACCGATTTGAACCGATTTGATTTCGAGTTCCTTAATCGATAAGGCAGTGGTTAATAACGCGTTCAGAGGAGAAAGATCTTGGGGACCCTAAAGGATTACGAAGTATCCCTTTTCCTGCGTTATTTTATTCGTAGCTGTTTTCCCTCAGGATCCTCCTGCTTCGGTATAACACATTGTCTCTCTGTTGATTCCTCATGATTATCTTCATTTCAATAATAAGTAATACCTTGAGTATTAATGGTTGATGACGATGTTTATATATATGATATATAAAGTCGATTGGAGCTTGTACATATATGTATGTATTTTTAAGAGTTCATCATTTTTATCGCTGATTCGTCAGGTCGTCAGATATGATTCTTATCATTTCGTTTCTTTTCATATTCACCATCAGAATACTACTCATCCCTTTACCCGTCTGTCGCGAGTGTTTTCTCGCACAAGACAGAATCTTTCGTAATACCTCGAGTGTTAGTAAAATCCTGCCTGTTGTTTTATTTGCACGTAGAACCCTCTTCGATGCTTCTCTCGCTCGCCAAGTTCATTTCGTCACTTTGTTCTCTCGTAGATGCTCCTTCGTTGTCCTGTACGAGCTCGTCTTGCAGGGTCGTCTTTACGTGCGTTTTGTTTCTACCGGTAGAAACCTTTTTCACGCTTTTCCTACTCATAGACTCGCTCTTATTGCCTCTCGTCTCCTTATAATCCTATCTACTGCTTGGCTCGCTCGTAGATTCTGCTTCACCGATTTGCAAGGATCCCAGAATCCTGGTATCGTTTGCAGCTGCTGACGGTGGAACTCGCGCGAAGAGAAGCCCGTAGAATACAAAAGTTGAAATTCAATGCGCCCTTTGGAACATTTCGTTCCCTCGCAGCGTGTTTACGTTAAAAATTATACACGGCGGAGATGCGAGAATGTTACTCTTTCGCTGGAATGCTTTTCTCGCTCGTAGAACGCTCTTTACTTCATTGTATGCACCTCGTCGCTACTTTGCATGCTCGCAAAATTCTTCTCGTTGTTCCGCACGCTCGCAGACTCCATGCAAAATCTTTATCATCGTTTGTCACATTTTGCAGAATTCTTGTATCATCCTTTCGCTTCATCATGAAGGCCTTCTTTGTTCGCTCTTACAATTTTATGTGTGTCAAATTCATCGGAATATTAAGAAGGATTTTTTTCTTCTTATAGTCCAATTTTATCCCATTTGCGTTTTGTGAAATAGAAAAATGTCGACAGGATAAATAAATTAATGAGAAACGTTCAGAGCACTTAAGAAATCTCTCTCTTTCTCTCTCTCTCTCTCTCTCTCTCTCTCCTTCTTACTTGTTCAAAATGTTTTTACGTAAATTAAGAAAAAAGTTCCTCGGACCCGTGAGATAGTAAATCCTAGCAAAATTCCTTGTTAAAGGATGCACTTGAGTTTGCAGATTCCAGTAAGAAAAAAGCATATTATAGTGTATCGACCAAATGTGTACTACACGTGCTTACATTCGTGCAGGAGAACATTCGTGAAGGAGCGAGCAATTGAGATTATTTTTAATTTCTTAATATAAAATATACTCAATGTAAAAACGCATGTCCACAAGAATAAGTCGATCGAACGCATTATCGTCGCGAGTATATTTGTTTCGAGATGTTGTGCGCTTTTGTCTTTTGATGTACCGCGAAAATTCCGCGACTTTAGAATAAAGTCAGCGACTTTAAAGAACAAAGGACGACCTCGAGTAGATCAAAAATTTGCTAAAGTGGTTAGCGACGGTTCTTGACGATACTTCATTAAGGGATGCACCTGGGTACACCCCTTGCGTTGCACAGACCGCTGCAGCTGCAGGCGGTTCCCTATTTGCTCGTTAGCACGTTGCTATGTTGTTTACTGAGTTCCATCCACGGGCGAGTTCGCGAGTGCATCGAGGGTTGCAGAGGATTAGGGTGGGAGGAAGGGGAAGGAAGGGGAGAAAGGCCGATTCTTCTATCAATCAGATAAATTCAAATAAATATGCAACTTCGAGGTCTTCAACTCTGATATCTCGGAAGAGTCCTAAATCCTCAGATGTCGAGCGATGTTTGATCCTCAGATTCTGAATGTTCTACTTCCCGTCCAATCTTTCGCCGATGTTGCTTCGGATTGTTGCGCTGCTATGAAACGATACAGTTTGCCGTGGGAGGTTCTTCGATTCGCGCGATAATTGGATTGGCGTAGATTTCGGAATGATTTTCACGGTCCTTGTCCATGTGTCACGTGATTTTGTCACATGAGTGAGAAATTTTCAATTGTCTTTAAAATATGCGCGCCTGCCTTTAGGCGCCCGTAGATTTGAATTGCAACGTTTGCCGAATGATAAAATGGAAATATATGAAATAACAGGATTGAAATGCAAGTAAAAATAGACGAATCAAATTACATCTTGCGTTGAAACAAGCGCTCATACCATCTCTCACTATCATCCTTAGCACATGGAGAATAACGACAAATAGACAATATAATAATAATAATACGTTATCGAGACCGATGAATGACCGGCAAAATCGACGCGCTGCATAGAATAAATAAGCTAAATTACAAGTTAAGACCGGTTGAATCAGGTCAGTGCTTTTGAGCATGAACTGCGCACGCTCTATCTTTCTCTCCTCTCCTCTCTCTCCCTACCCCTTCTCTTTCTCTCACTGCCTCCCTCTCTCTCTCTCCCTCTCTCCCTCTCTCTGCCCCCTCCCTCCCCCCCTCTCTCTCTCTCTCTCTCTCTCTCTCTACGTCCTTAGCGCCACCCCGTTGAAGACTAGAGACAATTCCAAACATAACGCACCCCTTCGACTCACATTATTCCGAGATCGCCAGCGACGTCGGGATGCAATCCCGCCGATCGAAGAGTGCAGTTATACCTACACAGTGCGGAATAGTACGATAAAGTGCTGCGGTAACTCGGCATAGATATCTGTGAATAAATCGTACAAAGTAAACTCACCCCTCGACCGGCAAATTAATGAGATAATTATTCACCGATAAACCCGCCGGAGTAGCTACCGCCGAGTAGAGAGTCAGTGAAAAGAGCATGTGCAAACCACGTGCGCGTATAGCTGTTATACTCAAGTGCCTTTCATTTGCGTATACTTTTAATACAAATATCATTCAATCTAATCATCATTCGTCTGATTCGATAAAAATACGCTTCTCCAAGTGTAAATATAATTCGAAAGCAAAGAGGTGTATTGTGAGGTCAGAGTCTTATGTTCGTGGAATCTTCGTAAATACCCGAACTTACAAGTTTTTGTGGATTTCGAAAGCAGAGAGATCGCTAGATCTTTACGCACGTAAAATTTGTAACGAGAGTAGGCCTAAAATTAGTCCTCAAATTCTGGCATGTGACAATTGCATTGTGAAGATATTTTTGCAACCAATTCGTACCAATTCAAGATGTAGATTCTGAGTTTCTCTTTTTCATTTTATATTAATTTCTTTTTCTCCTGCTCTAATCATATATGTTGATCATGCAATCGTACCGCGCGATGGACTCAGGACAGTTCCCTTTTGGTCCTACATGTCCTGCATGCAATTTGTATACACGCGTATCTTTACCTCGTTTCCCTCCGATCTTCGGAAAGCGGTGAGCTTACGTCAATTTTTCTTTCTTAAATGTTGCTTTGTCAGCGACGTCGAAAACTACCGAGTGGGTATGTCCATTTTCGCAGGACGAAATATCCGAAAGTCTCATATACAACACTTTTTATTCCATCAGAGCCGTTACAAAATTACCGTTGTGTGTATGTGTGTGTGTGTGTGTGTGTGTGTGTGTGTGAGGCTTGCCGGGAAATTATTTACTCCACTTAACATCTGGGCGACGAGCGTTTGCCTGAGTTATACCTCTCCAAGCTTCCATGCTTTTCTTGCAACGAATTATTTTTAAGTTATGTGTGAGTTGTTGCTTATTTGTCAGTCCCTTTGTTCGTGGCTACGCTTCGCGTGGTAAAACCAGTTAGTGATCGATCGTTTGTATGCATACACGAGCTAATAGGGAAAGCGAGCTAATAAGGAAATAAATTTGTAAATTCATCCAATATCGTGCGATATTCCCGTGAAGATTATACAGTGAATCGTACATCACAAATAACGTGAAATCTGCTACATTACCCTATCTTTAATATTCAGGAGCTTTATTTTTGCAAAGGGCTTTTTAAACGAGCGTAAGCTTGCACGAGCTTCCGGAGAATATTTAAGGTCAATAATCAATTGCAAATGTCAACCATTTTTAACTTTAGTCGTTCATCTTTAGTGGTTCACTGTGGTATGCAGCGCATACCAGCGCATACCATTTTTTCACTGTACTAAAACTGATCGAGATTGCACCCATGCCCTTTTTGCTACGTATAAAAATTTCTTTTTTGATGCTTAATCACTATCTGCATCCTAAATTCTGCATCATCCATCTAGCGTTCCATACATTCTCGTTCTCGCCAATAGAAGGAAATGTCATTGTTTTATCATCTGTTGTATGCGCGCGCGCACGCGTGTATGTGTGTATGTGTATCATCAATGTGTGTCTGTACTAGTTGTTTGTAGTACAACGCAATATTAAAAGTTATTATTTAAGAGAATGTCAATTGTATCATGTAATTTTTGCATACAGGAGTTACGGACCAAGAGACCTTTTAAGATATGGGACAGCTGGCGTAACGTAAGAAAGGGATTGGTCGTTAGCAATTTCGAAGAGTTGATTGTCCGGGGTAAGAAACACGTAGATTTAACGAATTAGCCGTTAAACTCAAACACTAGCCGATTAAGAATCAAATGACTTTTTGTTCCGTCCGGAGTCATGCTTCTCTAACATTGCGATCGCCACAAGGAACGATTTTCAAAATGACGATTTTATTATTATGAGTCTGAGTTTTTCGATTAACAGATTAACGATCGTTATATTACGTGTCGTAACGTGTCTTTCCTCTCTTCCGGGACATCCGGGACGGTCGTTGGTTTATCGATCGCGACATATACTTCTTTTCACGTGGAACATTCTTTTTTTTCTTCAAACAGCAGAGAAACCTAATTTGAAGATCTCGCGTTAGAAATGCGACAAAGCAAGTCAGATCAGTGACAGAGATCAGTTATTCACGAAGACTAAACAAACAAATGAGAACGAAAGAAGAGGAGAGAGAGAGAGAGAGAGAGAGAGAGAGAGAGAGAGAGAGAGGGAGGGAGGGAGGGAGAAAGGGAGGGAGGGAGGAAAAAATCGATGCTCGTCGCGACGCGCGTTGGATAACTTCCGCGAGCGTCACGCGTGCTTCCGGAGCACTCTTTCTCCCTGTCCGGTTGGCGAGGAAATATTTCCGGTCGGAAATATTTCCGCGCGCCGTATCGCGCGGTATTGCATTATCTGCAAAGTTCCTTTGAAAGTGTCGCTCTCGCCTAACATTTCTCACAACATTTCTCCCGGAGACAAAGCGCCGTTCGTTCGAGAACACACCACACCATTATTCGCAACTGCGCCCATTCACGTGATTACACAGTACAGGCGACACGTGGCGCATACGCGCACACACACACACACACACACACACACACACACACACACACGTCGTCATCGCACCGTACGTGCACACGTACGCGTATGCCTATACACGCACAAAAGCGCCCGCGTTTCACGCGCGTACACACGCGCAGCCAGGGACGTGAAAAAAATAAAGCGCGTCTCATTGTTTCGCGACGTCGGAACGAACGCACGAGTTCGTAAAGCTTGAACCTTCACGATGTTGCTTTTAGGTAAGGAAAAGCTGGGCGTGCCACAAAATGAGAATGTCTCGTTAGTTTTGGAGTCGGACGGCACGCAAGTTGAAGACGGCGATTACTTCAAGACATTAGGCAACAACACGATCCTACTACTGCTGCGGCATGGTGAACGCTGGTGTCCCACTGGCGTCGACATCATACGCGCTGGTACGTGAAGCACAATCGATCACAGCGATCGATCTTTTACGGGGAAATCGGCAACTTGGTTGAGGTGGCTAAGGTTGAAGTGACACGGAACGACAGGGTCAATCTAAGCGAGAGGGGGTATTGTATCTAAAGGGATGTATGTGATGAGACGTGTATGTAACGTAGACGTCTGTTCGGTCGAAAGAGATCAGGACTGGTCGGAAATGTGTCAAGAGGCAAGATTTCTTCTTTCTCTGTCTCTCTCTCTCTCTCTCTCTCTCTCTCTCTCTCTCTCTCACTCACTCACTCACTCACTCACTCGCTCGCTCGCTCGCTCGCTCGCTCGCTCGCTCGCTCGCTCGCTCGCTCACTCACTCACTCACTCACTCACTCACTCACTCACTCACTCACTCACTCACTCACTCACTCACTCACTCACTCACTCACTCACTCACTCACTCACTCACTCACTCACTCACTCACTCACTCACTCACTCACTCTCTCACTCACTCACTCACTCACTCACTCACTCACTCACTCACTCACTCACTCACTCACTCACTCACTCACTCACTCACTCACTCCACCACCACTCACTCACTCACTCACTCACTCCACCCTCCCCTCCACTCACTCACTCACTCACCTCATCACTCACTCCACTCACTCACTCACTCACTCCACTCACTCCACTCACTCCACTCCCTCACTCACTCACCTCACTCACTCACTCACTCACTCCCACTCCCACTCACTCCCACTCCCCCCCACTCCCACTCCCACTCACTCACTCACTCACTCACTCACTCACCACTCACTCCCACTCCCACTCACCACTCCCACTCCCACTCACCCTCCACTCCTCACTCACTCACTCACCTCACTCCACTCACTCACTCACTCACTCACTCACTCACTCCACTCACTCACTCACTACTCACTCACTCACACTCACTCCACTCACTCACTCACTCACTCCACTCACTCCACTCACTCACCACCCTCCCACTCACTCACCTCACTCACTCACTCCCCCCCCCACTCACTCACTCACTCACTCACTCACTCACTCACTCACTCACTCACTCACTCACTCACTCACTCACTCCCCCCCCCCCACTCACTCCCACTCACTCCACTCACTCACTCACTCACTCACTCACTCACTCCACTCACTCACTCACTCCCACTCACTCACTCACTCACTCACTCACTCACTCACTCACTCACCCCCTCACTCACCCCCCCTCACTCACTCACCCCACTCCCACCCACTCACCCACCACCACTCACCTCACTCACTCACTCACTCACTCACTCACTCACTCACTCACTCACTCACTCACTCACTCACTCACTCACTCACTCTCACTCACTCACTCACTCACTCCTCACCCCCCCTCACTCCACTCACTCACTCACTCACTCCACTCACTCACTCACTCCACTCACTCACTCACTCACTCCACTCACTCACTCACTCACTCCACTCACTCACTCCTCACTCACTCACTCACTCACTCACTCACTCACTCACTCACCTCACTCACTCACTCACTCACCCCCCCCCCCCCCCCCCCCCCCCCCCCCCTCACTCACTCCCTCCCTCACTCACTCACTCACTCACTCACTCACTCACTCACTCACTCACTCACTCACTCACTCACTCACTCCACTCACTCACTCACTCCACTCCCCTCACTCACTCACTCCACTCACTCACTCACTCACTCACTCACTCACTCACTCACTCCACTCACTTCACTCCACTCACTCACTCACTCACTCACTCACTCACTCCACTCACTCACTCACTTCACTCACTCACTCACTCCACTCACTCCCACTCACTCCCACTCACTCACTCACTCACTCACTCCACTCACTCACTCACTCACTCACTCACTCACTCACTCACTCACTCACTCACTCACTCACTCACTCACTCACTCACTCACTCACTCACTCACTCACTCACTCACCCTCACTCACTCACTCACTCCCACTCACTCACTCACTCACTCACTCACTCACTCACTCACTCACTCACTCACTCACTCACTCACTCACTCACTCACTCACTCACTCACTCACTCACTCACTCCACTCACTCACTCACTCACTCACTCACTCACTCACTCACTCACTCACTCACTCACTCACTCACTCACTCACTCACTCACTCACTCCACTCACTCACTCACTCACCCTCACTCACTCACTCACCCTCACTCCTCCCCTCACTCACTCACTCACTCACTCACTCACTCACTCACTCACTCACTCACTCACTCACTCACGCACTCACTCATTCTCTCTCTCTCTCTCTCTCTCTCTCTCTCTCTCTCTCTCTCTCGCTCGCTCGCTCGCTCGCTCGCTCGCTCCCTCCCTCCCTCCCTCCCTCCCTCCCTCCCTCCCTCCCTCCCTCCTCCCTCTCTCTTCCCCTCTCCCTCTCCCCTCTCTCTCTGTTGCGTCTCTTCGACGTGTAATCCGTAACAAAGCACAAGAAGCTAAAAATTCTTACATGGACCTTTGAACGATCAACCAAGTAGCTCTTCTTCTTTATTCTATCAAGTGTTTTGGATTTTTGAACTCTCGAATATATACAGCTTTAGAGTCATACGCGCTGCTATGTAAAGGGGATATTACAACGATCAACTTTGGTTGATGGAAATCGGCAACTTGGTTGAGGATACTAACCTCGAGGCAACTAAAATTGATCAAACTGAATTACACGTGGCAACTGAATCCTTACACACACACAAGTCTTTAAACGATCAACCAAGTAGGTTTTCTTCTTCTTCTTCTTCTTCTTCTTCTTCTCTTAAATCTCTTTAAGTGTCTCTTGGAATCTCTTTCTCTCGATTCTTCTTATCACCCCGAACCACCTCTTTAGACTTTTGTGGATCCGTACATTCTATTCTCTCTACTATGGCTCCCTCCAAAGATCTCTCTATGAATCTCGCACTCTCTCGCGATGGATTACCCGGCACTGATTTGTCACGTCTTGCAGCACCGAACACCACCCGTAATCAATCCTCCGTTTCTTCCGTCGTGCTACGCCGAACGTTATCTCGCGCGACCGTTAACCGGCCTTCTTCTTTTCTCTTGTGTATCCCCAGCAATTTCGGCGATCCCGAAAATAGTCTGCGAGACTATTCACGCGCTGGAGCTGCACGATGAGACGCCATCGTGGAAAATTATGGACAATAAAGGTCGAGTCACCGTGGTGCTGCACTGGGACCAGCGTTCCTCGTCGTCGTCGCAGGTGCAGCAGCAGCAATCGAAGTCGGGCCAGGACGCACAGACCTCCAAGTATTCCCCGACTAAGAAAGCCGACCTGAGCGGTGCTCAACGGCCGTCTCTGGTGATCCAGACCAGCCTGGATAAACTTGGCTACGACGGCAAGGGGGCGCACTTGCCCGGCGAGATTGCTTCGACGCGGTACACCAGTCCGCGAATCACTGTGATAAATCATGATGATATGGTACATTCAAAATACGCTGTCTTATTCTGTTTTGTTTCTGTCGTTGAATGAATTTTAGCCTTAGATCTTGCTCTCTCTCTCTCTCTCTCTCTCTCTCTCTCTCTCTCTCTCTCTCTCATCTTGCCACTCTGCATCTCTGTCTCTAAACTGTTACTAGCTGATCGACGACAAGTTACTCGGTCCAAGATCGACGCAATCGAGGACGCAACGAGTATTCTCTGTAGATCAGAATTAGAATCGGGATTATCCTTCTCGCGCGGGGATAAGAAGGTGACGATTATAGATTAGCTTAGTTAGTGCGCGAAATTTATTTCTGCTTTCGAGCGCGCCGATTACGCCGTCGAACGTACGTTCAATTCCGTCCGCTCTGTACGTCGAGCAGCGTCGAGCGAGATATCCGAGCTATCGAGCATACGTGACTTGACAAATTTGTATCTGTCCCAACAGCAGCAGCCGGCGCATTCTCATGCCATGCCGAGCCGCCTGGTGAAGCAGGGCACGAACTCGTTCGACAGCACGACCATTCACATTCACACGCCGGAATGCTCCAATCATATTCATCAACCAGTCGCGCGGAACGGCAGCCCGGTGAACGGCGCCGACGGAGGTGCTATCGGCGAATGCGACTTCCACTGTTGCACTTTGCACGAGGAGGGTCGCAGAATCGCCGTGCACAAGTCGGTGGCGACGTCGCCGATTCAGGATGCGCAGCATCAACAGTACCAACATCCACATCACCATCATCAGCAGCAGCAGCAGCAGCAGCAGCAGCAGCAGCAACAGCAGCAGCAGCAACAGACGCAAACACAGACACCATCGCCGCAGCCACCGTCCTCTTTGTCAGACGGTACCAAACGACCCGGCCTGAGCAAAGGTCACGTGCGCTTCCGCGACACCGCCGACGAGGAGTCGAGCTCGCGTTTGGCCGGTGCTAGCTTCCACTTGCATCATCATCATCATAATCACCATCAGGAGCACGACAGCTCCGAATCCGAGACGGAGAACACGATAATGGAGGATGAGATCGTGACCTCGGAGAAATTTCTGCTGCTGATCGACCAGCTGACGGTCGATCAGAAGCATCATCTCAGCATCAAAGACATCGGCATCATTCTGGAGCGACTCAGTTCCAAGATCCTCGACGTCGAGCGGCTGGATCGCGAGAGCGAGAGCGAGGAGTGCTACAATTGGACGATAAAGGCCATCATCAGGGGCGATGTCCTGCGGGAGCTCGGGGTGATCTACAACGGTAATTACTACGCGATCTCCGAGCATCCTGGCTACAAGGAGGAGTCGGAAGAGAACAATGAAGATAATGAAGAGGAGGAGGAGGATAGACTTTAATATGATGTTGTTTTATTAGATAGATAGATAGATTATATATCTATTCCTGATTATTATGAACTTAGCACGTTATAACGTTGTAACGAACGGCTGGAGCACCACGTGTTCTCCTTTAGGTCCGAGGATTTTCCGATTCTCCAGTCTCGATTTCAAGCTTCGCAGCATTCCCCCGTGGAATTCTATTAGGATCCCCACCCTCTTCCCCCCCCCCTCTCCTCCCTTCGCCCCTAGGACCCTTGAGAATTCAATTTCTTCCAGAATTTTCCTAGGACTTTTTAGGATTCTCCTAGAATTCTGCACGTATATTCCACGTAGGTGGAATTCGGGGTAACTGTATTACAGGATTATCTAAATTCGCCTAAATTTTGATAAATTTACAATTTCTAGGATTTTTCAGGACACTCGCAGGATCTTTTGAGATTCATTATCCCCTCCTTAGGAATCCATAATACTCTAGGAATTTTTGATGTTACGATCCTGTAGGATCTTAGAATTTCTCTGAGTGAGTGAGAATGATCCTGTGAGTCTCGTACTACTGATTCATTTGACAATTTTGCAAGGAATTTCTTGAGAAATCGTCCCCGATCCTAGGATCATTCAAAACACTTGTACCTTTAATTTCGGATGTCTCAGCTCACTTTTTCCGAATTCTTTGGCTTGAGGATTCTCGGAAGAAATTTTTAAATCGTACTATTTTAGGTTTCTTCATACTTTGAATTATAAGTATTCCAGTGTTTTTTTTGAATCTCTTCAAGCGTATTCGGTGTTTTGGATCCTGGAAGCCAGAAATCTCGGGAAAACGTCAGATTTAAAATGCCACAAAATATCTTAGCTCCCTCAGACATTATATTATCTGTAATCTAGGTGCCTTAGATCCTAGGTACCTTAGATTCCCTCCACTCACACTCACACCTACACCCGCTATACACACACATCCAGATCCTGTTCACTTTAGAGTGCCTAGGTGCCTTAGATCTTAGACATTGTAAATTCTAGATCTTCCAGACAGATCCCACACAAATACTACTCGTTGCGTACCCACGATCTCGATATGGAGGTTCCTAAGTTCCATAAATGGCATCCTTTCCCGGCATGCTTTCCATTTTCTTTACGGGCCCGTATGACAAGTCGTTCCTCGATTCTCTCCCGTTATCGAGAGCTCACGATGTTGTAAGCGTTTACAGTGCAATCATTGCCGGCAGCATCCCGACAACAAGGAGAAGCCCGAGGAGAATGAGGGAGTTAATGTTAATAAGGAAAGGAGTATAGACTTTATAATACGATGCAGTTTTTTCTTAGAGATATAGATAGGTAGATAGATTATAACTGAAGGATTCAATGCAACTGCGGTTTCGTTCACTTTCTTGAAATCTTGAGAACATAAAATCTAGAGAGTGTTGGGAACATTAAATTTAAATTAATTTTCTCAAGTTCTTACAGAAGTGGGCACCGTGGGCGTCGAATCTCTTCATTTATTCATCACTTATGACTTTGCATACGGTTCCTATGATCCTATGATCGGTCCAAAGATCCCCGGCTTCTTTCGATTACGAAATCCTCGGATCGGAGGTGAGATTCACGGTGAGCGAAAGATGAGCGATACGCGCAAATATAATCCCGATAAACCCGATTCGAAATTTTCTGGTTCTGCGTCATCTCCGTAAATTTCGTCAAACTTGAGGGAGAAATCTTGGGAATGGGAAATCTTGAGATATAACACTGTACGAGCTACTACCTTTTAATGCTGCAAATGGTTACTTTTTATCGTCGTCTTTGTGTGTTGAGATTTAAAGAATTCTCCTAATTATCTAGTATTCTTTTCGTCTCAATAAGTCACGTCACGAGCTTTATCATCCATGTTGAGCATTGAGGTAGAACAGTAGCTCATACACAATCTCTGTTATATCACGAGATTCTACACTTATCCTTCAAATTCGATGATATTTGCAAGATAGATGTAGAATTAAGATTTTGTTTCGAATATATTTCGTATCTCAGAGAGGAAACCTAATTCATAAGGTTGAGAAGAAACTGATCGACAAGAGAAGCGACAAAAGAGCACGTCGACAAGACGTAGATCGACAAAGGCGTCGTTTCTTCCGCGAACGTGTTTCGTACTAAAAGAGGAGAAGAAAAAGAAAAACTTGACAAGAAAGCAAAGCGAGGGGAAGAATAGCATATTTAATTCTCATGACACATCTTTATTAAAATCTAGTTCTAAAAACGGTTGTTGAAATATGTATTTATTAAAACTAGCATGTATACTTGTAGGAAACATTTTTGGGATTACGGATATCGATTCCGTAACCGTCCACAACACTGCCCTTCTAAGGAAAAGATAGATAGATAGAGAGAGAAAGAGAGAGGAGGGAGGGAGGGAGGGAGGGAGGGAGGGAGGGAGGGTGGGAGAGAGAGAGAGAGAGAGAGAGAGAGAGAGAGAGAGAGAGAGAGAGAGAGAGAGAGAGAGAGAGAGAGAGAGAGAGAGAGAGAGAGAGAGAGAGAGAGACGACAGAGACGACAGAGAAAAAATGTGGGAAAGGAAGTGTGAAAAAAGTAAAAAATGTCGATATATTATACGAAACAATTCGACTCGACGCGACCGGTGAAAATCGCGCGAACGGTGCACGATCGATCGCCGACGTCGGGAACAATCAGTGATCTCGGACAGTGGATGGATAACACAATGGCGAGCACGTGTATTAATTCATAGCTCGTCATAGAACGCTCACGAACGATATTAGATACCAGTAATTGTAAATCGTAATGGCTGCCTTTGACTCATCGAACATCACGGACGATCCACGAACCAGAAGGATCGCTTTCGCAAAGTTGACAAGAAAACGATTGGAGGTGGGGAATGGAGTTAGTTGTTTATTTCTCGCCGACGTAAATTCTTCATTGACTCATGAAACAAATGCTCTTGTAGCCCAAAATCTTTGGATCTTCGGATTCCTCGATCTTCGATTGTATATGTAGGTACTAGGTTTCACAAAGTACACCTCTTCTTTTCTAATACGTATGATAATGCACGTCATTTGATTGCTTCCGATGACTGCTTTTAGATTTGCAACTTTATGATTCCTATTTTAATTTTAAATTTCTCGTAACATTGCACAAATGTCTAAGATTTTTTTATCTCACACCATTTCTCTTCCCTTTGTAAAAGAGTATATTCTCTGTAAGAAGATTTCCTCTCTTATATATCACCTTTTTGACTGATCAATTCTTTTTGTTTCTTTTTAACCACAAATTCCTCGTGGATACTATACTGCTGCTCACTATTCTGATAATTTTCACTCGAACCTAGTAGCCATCTCACTCATTCTAGCTCATCGCACCTACGATGGATCGCTCGAAATGGAATCGCGCATAGAAAAACTTATGCAACTCAAAAGAGGGCTTGCACATGAATAGCGCAGCCTGAATCTTTCAACCCTCCTTTTCTTTCAAGACACAAAATTAACGCGTCATTACTCTGCAATGCTTGACTGTTAGGAAACATATCACGTGCGCGCGAGGTGATTCAATTTCAATAACGAGGAGAATATTTTAATATCCGTTTATCTTAAGTTTACAGCGAAAACTTATCGCTAAGAGATACATCATTGTTGCCTGCTTCTCAAAAACTCCCCGTACAAAAATACAAAATGGCATGCATTCTTTAAAATCTCGCATTTAGACATCAATTCGTCAATTCACTCTTTCTTCCGTGTCTTTTGTATTAGGAAGGAAATCACATATACTAAGTAAGTCACAGTACTGATTCGATTCTTGGAGGATTGGAAGTTTCGAGCTCGGTGCTCGAAGGAATACATAATACATAATACGCGCGCGTATAGATTACGTATAACGATATAAACATATTCGAATCATTTGGAATTTACGTTAGCGGATGTATTACATAATTATAAATGATGTATCGATACGTGTCAGGGGTACGTCCTGTGTATGTGAACAATTTTAATATATTTCTATTGTAAGAGAGAACTAAAAGAGAGGGCGGAGAATGTATATGTGTATACTCTCTCTCAAGAAATTGTGAAAGATGTGGATACGCAGGAGACGCAAGTTATTCGATACTACATATAATATATATAATATATACATATACATACATACATACACATGTGTGCGTGCTTGTGTGTGTGTGTGTGTGTGTGTGTGTGTGTGCGCGCGCGCGTGTACGTGATATACATACGTATGTATGTATGCATACATGTCTTTACGTATGTATGTATGTATGCATATATGTATTTACGTACGTATGTATATATGTGTGCATATATGGATGTGCGTGCGTGCGTATGTGTGTGCGTGCATGTATGCGTGCGTGCGTGTGTACATGCGTGGGTGCGTGTGTGCATGTGGGTGCGTGTGTGCATGTGCGTGCGTGCGTGCGTGTGTGTGTATGTGCGCGCGCCCGCGTGTGTGCTTGCGTGAGTGACTGTGTGCGTGTGTACATGCTGCGTGGTGCGTGAGTGAGTGAGTGAGTGAGTGAGTGAGTGAGTGAGTGAGTGAGTGAGTGAGTGAGTGAGTGAGTGAGTGAGTGAGTGAGTGCGTGCGTGCGTGCGTGCGTGCGTGCGTGCGCGCGCGCATGTGTGTGTGCGTGTGCATATTATATATAATAATACAGTAAACTTACGTGAGAGAATACTTTATACGTAAGCCATTTCGTACATGGCCCGACTCGAGGGATGCACAAAGGCAAATTCTAGGGATGACTCTCGAGAAAAAAGGAGAAAGGGAAAAAAAGAAGGAAGAAGGACGACACCCGCGTATAGGAGAAAAGAACTGAGTTCATTGTTCGGTTGACGTTAAGATTTTCCATGTGTCTTATCTCATCTCGCACTTCGTTCGCGATCATCTTATTCCTAAGCTTGTTGGATCCTGAAACTGTTGGAGTCCAGGAATACTCCGTAGGTCTGCTCGTTCCCGAAAAACTTCTAAAACAGTGCATACTAGTGCAATAAATTAATGCGAAAGGAAGTATATACTTGTTTTATTCTAATTTATTGCATTAGATCAGAATTCATAGGAAAACGAGCAGACCTCGTGTTTTCCCAATCGATCGCGCGGATCTCATCCACGATCCCACGATCACCACTCGACCTGCTTCGGATGTTCGGATTGTAGAAACGTAGGATCGCGGATTATGCCCGAACGCGCCGATATCAGGTGTTCCTTTGTTTGCAGATTTAAAATCCCGGATTCCGCGGAGAGTTCCTGGATCTTTTTCGATTTCAAGTTCCTCGGATCTCTCGCACTACTCGGTATTTGTCGTTCCGTTCGGCTCGTTTCAAACTCCGGGTTATTCAACGTCACACGGATTCGGAGCCGTCACTCTCCAGGATATAAGACTCTGAAATTCACCTTTGTTAGGATTTCCCGGCCTTATTCGATCCTCGAATTTTTCATATTTTTGTGGTTCTCAAATGGTGGCTTCCTTAAATCATTGACTGTATTGTAAGACTCTCGGATCCTCGAGTTCTCGAATCCTGATGCTTTGCTTCTCAAGGATCATATTAGAAGGAACTTGAGATAATCAATGAGAAAAATATATGAGAAAATGTATGCGGGGGGAGAGAGAGAGGCGACGAGAGGAGGAGGAGGAGGAGGAGGAAAGAAAAGAGAGGAGAGTAAAAGAAAGAGGAATGTAAACAGGGGATACAGAGGAATTTTTATCTGTCGGATCGATCGTACATTTTTTCATTGCAAAAGGACTGCGTATGCTCTTGCAATCGAGAAGATGGAAGGATCTCTGCTCCCGAGAACTATTTCAAGAAAGAAAAGACTCTTTGCAGGTTTCTGGTTTCGTAGCGCCACATTTTAAATAATAATAAATAATAACAAGAAAAATAATAATAATATTAATAATAACAATAAATAATAATGATAAAAGGAATAAAAGAATTGTTATAAGTTGTAACTGTTGTTTCTGGTACATGCAGATACTATACACACACACCCTAATCTAAGGACACGGCCTCCTCCGTTTGATTTGTACGTATAACCTCCACCTCCTATAATTCTACTTTGCAAAGAATGCGATGTCCTGAGAAATAATCCGAATAAAAATTCAGCCATACTTCATATCTAACGATCATCGCGTGTGATCGCTAAAGTTGATTCTTCCTTAATATTAGTGTGGATTTCTCGCATTTCATTCGACAAGAGACACAGGTTCGCGGATCCCTGGAATCTTTCTAGATTTCATCAATAACGATCTTGTCCCCATTCGTCGAATTATAAGCACTAATTTTTGCGACATGTGTGTATATGTATGTGTGTGTGTGTGTGTGTGTGTTGTGTGTATACATATACATATATACATACATACATATATATATATATATATATATATATATATATATACATATATGCATATATATATGTGTGTGTGTGTGTGTGTGTGTGTGTGTGTGTGTGTGTGTGTGTGTGTGTGTGTGTGTGTGTGTGTCTATATATATTTGTACGATCTATAATTTGTATTGTCAGGCGATTTATATTATTATATCTACGACACTTGGATGCGTGTGTGTTTCTTAACCAATTATATTAAATATTAATATCGGGAAGAAGCTTCGTTTGATAAGGATACTTGTACGATTTATTGCCTGAAATTGATAGAGTTGCGCTTCTTTCGTCATTTTAACGCATGAGAGCGCATGACTTTTTCACGACCTATCGATCAGTCGATCGATCTGCGGCAAGCAAGTGACGATCGACATAAAGAAGAGATCTAGCGTAAGCAACCTCGCATTATGATTACCTCTGTGTATCTGCATGACCGCATTACAATAACCTTTAACTACTTTTAAAGAAAGATGAAGAAACGTAGTCACTATTTGATGTAGCAAAAGAAAATTCTATACAGGGCGTTCCAAAAGCATGTGCTAAGAGAGCATCGAGAGAATACTCGATGCCACTGACCTACTTTCGCGACGGCAATCTTTTACAATGGATGCTTGACACTTGATAAGAATTAATGAGAGAATATTAATTTGAAATTCTCAGACGCGCTGATTTCACTCTTCGAGTTCTTCCATTTTTGAGATTTTCCGAATCTATTTGGATTATCCAAATAAGACTCTTACACACATACACACATACACACACATGGATTTTAGATGCTGTAAATCTCGAAGCAATTCTATTGCCAAATAAGATAAGTACTTTTTGCCAAGAGAGAGAGAGAGAGAGAGAGAGAGAGAGAGAGAGAGAGGGAAGGATGGAAGAAACAGGGAGATGGACATACATGTACTCGTTATAAGAAAAGTTAATTTTTAATGTCGCGCGAAACTTTCGGAGCACTCTGTATAAATGCTCAGTACGGAACGCGAAGTATATTTAGCTCTTCTTATCGCGTAGC